ATTAGCAGTTTTTGGGTTTCGCCACGTTCATTTTATTACTATGACATTCTTAACTTGCGTGTCATGTTTTGCTGCTACATCCTGTGGAGCCGCTCTGCAGGTTTACTCCATGTTGTTATATTTGTCTTTCTGTCATGACTTTGGGATTAAGTGTTCCTGTCGTGACCCCTGCAGACCCCACTGAAGCTGACTCAGTGTCTGGACGAGCAGAGTCAGAGGAGGTGATGACTCCTGGCCTCTCTGTGAGCCAGAAGGGGGTCCCTAGGGCTTCAGCCATGGGAAACTATGACTTAGCAACAGCCTCTAATTGCAACATCTAACATCCATCATTCTAACCTGTCCAGGTTTTTTTTTTTTTTTAAGGTATCTATTTAAACAGGTTGTGACCATGTATGGCAGGCATGTCCAAACTCAGGCTCAGGGACCAAATGCGGCCCTTAGTGTAATTTCATGTGGCCCTCTGCCTTGCTAACCCAAAGTAGTTCACTGTGTCATCCATCCAACTTCAGCTCAACCAATAGGAGGATCTTTGTTTACACCTGTGTGCGCATGCGCTCATCGTTGTGTAACATGAAGACAGACCGGCCCATACTGAAGCGTGGATGCGATGACTACTTTTAAAAGACTCAGTGGGCGAATAGCTCCGTATATAAGCACTTTAACACCAGAAGATCAGAGGAGATATAAAGACAAGCTAAAAATAAGTATATGAGACCGAACTGAACAAATCCAAAGCCCATTTGAGACCTGGGATGACGAGAAAAAACATTGGTAAGACTCACCTCTGTTTTGGCACCGATCTGCTGGGACTGGGACTCAGGGACATTTATTCTTACTTCATAGAAAACCGCGTTTTTCAGCGCGATAAAGTGGCCCAGTATTTTGCCGTCGCGGTAAAGAACAGTAAAAGTGGCTTGCCCCTGTTTGCTGTTACTTACGGTAAAGGTGGAACAAAGTTTAAAATTAATCATCACTCATGAATGAATGAGTGAAATAGTGCGCAGTAAAATTAGTTGCAAAACTTAAATTTGTTTATGAATTTTTATCCCCTCATCCCCCCGGCTTCCCATTCTACGTTTACCGTAGGTAACAGCATAAAAGAGCAACCACTTTTGCTGTTCTTTTCCGAAAGAAAAAAATTAGAAAAAAAACGTAATCTGTCCCCAGCGGGCCGTACAACCGACCACACAACAAGAATGGACCATTTGATTTAGTAAAACCTCTCTACAAACGTCTAAAAATAGCTAATTCTTTAGCATCCAGGTAGCTTTCAATGCTGAAGTGCCACACAGTCACGTGACCGGAGCGGAAAAACTATAAACAATGACGTCACTCCAAGATCCTCCTATATAGACATGTCGTTACTCGTTCTAAAGCCCAGTGCATCTGGAATTCAGCCGTTGACTATTTGTACATACTCTACAGACACTGTTTTTGATTGTGTCCCAAACTTCCATTAATGGTTTTAACGTAGATAGGAAAATGGTAAACATTTGTCATTCAGCCAACTTCAGTTCTGTTATGGATCATTTTAAAGCTGAGAACAGCCCAAAACAATCCAAGACAGTTTTTCAGTCTGTGACGTCGGCCCCTGGACTAGTCTGGTGAACTATAAAGTGGCCCTCTTACTAGAATGTTTGGACACCCCTGAAGTATGTTATGAACAGATAAGAGTGTGTGAGACTTGTATCATAAATAACATATTTGTGTTCTTGGATGTTAGGTCAACATATAAATCATACAGGGCCTTTTCTGATCAGAATGTTGCATTGTATTTATCCCTAATGTAAGTCATGGCCACTTCACAGTTTATATGTAGTTGTGAGGCAGATTACTCAATCAGAAAGCAGAATTTGGTTTGGTTTGTTTGGATTGAAAGAATAATGAAATGTGAAGAGTCATTGAGTGTCCTGAAAAGTGCTCTAGAAAACCGATTTATAATAACCCTAACCCAATTGAATTCATTATTATTATCATTATTATTATTACAAAGAGACACTTTCAACAAAGGTAGGTTGAAGAAGGTTGAGGGTTCAATCTTGTGTTTCTGTGATAGTTTATCTTTTTGTCTGGTTGGGTTTCCTCCAGGTGCTCCTGTTTTCCCTTATACCACTAACAACATGGAGAATAGATCTGAATGTAATGTGTGAGGTAACAAATGGTGATGGTCAAGGTTCAGGGACTCGCTTCCGTCATCACCGTGATGACCGGATAAATGGAAATTACCGGCACTCAAAAGATTGTGAAACGCTTTGTGTGTGACCTGTGAAATGTGCGGTATAAAGAAAGATTACTTACTCAGTTATTTATTAAGAGCCTGAGCCTTCACATTCCACCTTTCTGTTCCAAATGTACATTTAATACTATATATGGAAATATTAGTAGATATAATACTAGAAGATTTGTCGGAAACCTGACTAAAGCTTTCTCCACCACCCAAAACATGCACCATAGATGACCTGCAGTAGTCCTGACCCAGCCGAACATCTGGAAATGGGTCCTGGCAACTACTCTGCAGCGACCACAGCTCCTGTAGAGGCCCTACAGTGGCACTGAGGGATGGGTCTAATGCAGGACACATTTCCTTACAAGGACAATAAAGTCTGTCGACAAGGGCCTTATATCAATGATTGTATTTGTAGTGACTTACTTTTAACAGAATACAACTTCTCTTTTCCCATGATGATGAGATGAAGTGATAGCACTGATGCATTTGATAATCTATTTATTGTTTTTGATGGGTGGATGGACAGATGGACAAAAAAATCCTAATCTTAGTCAACTTCCGGAATGATGTTTTGGAATCAATGACAGATGAACGATGCATTATTAGAGTTTGAGAAATGTCCATGGGAATTGTGTTTTGTTTGTCATTTTGTGGCGTACTTTTCATGCTGACCAAAAATTCCAATAGCAGCAGCTGCATTGGGGTGTTCTTTAAAGTCAATAACAAATTCACGCTTGCGTCATGACAAATGTCATAGCCTGTTCCATTCCTACATCCACTGAAGTTGTAATAATGGTGGAATAAGTGGGTTCTAAGATACAAATGAATATTGTCATGAGTTGGAGACCAATCTTTTCCCTTTAAAGTATTTCACAGCTGCTGCATTACACACACCTGCTTCAAAAAAATGTATAAGGATTTTTTATAGACCTTCAAAAGCATTCCACGCTTTTGAACTCCATATTTAAAACAAAATAAAACCAAAAATACATTGAAGAGCTATGGCATAAGGTGATTGGTAAAGAATTTGTTTTAGAGAAATATTTGTGTGACAGAGCACAAATATTACAAATGTATCAATGTAAATCATGCCGTGCATAAAACTGTGGTGTACAGTTACGGCCTGTTTCAATTTTACAGAAATCCTCTTTTTCACTTTTGCTGAAAAATGACATGGAGGAGAGCGTGCGATGCCCTCCGCACAGAGTAGGTGCTGGGGATGTGTAGGGTTGGAGAGTGTGTGTGAGTCTTTGTTTTGTGTGTGTGTGTGTGTGTGTGTGTGTGTGTGTGTGTGTGTGTGTGTGTGTGTGTGTGTGTGTGTGTGTGTGTGTGTGTGTGTGTGTGTGTGTGTGTGTGCGTGTGTGCGTGTGTGCGTGTGTGCGTGTGTGAGTGCGTGTGTGCGTGTGTGTGTGTGTGTTTTTGCCATATACCATCTGTACATACAGTTGGTATATGGCATCCACCTCTTTTCAGGGTTGGATGATGTCATTTTCTTGGTAAATCTACGTCTGTGAAGATGATATGTGAATCTGTGTTTTTCAGGTTTGACATTAACGATTAAACCTTAAGCTAACCTTATGTAAGCTCTAAGATGTGTGCTCTCTGTTCCCTTTTTGGACGGTCCTCGGCACAAACAAACCGGCAGAAGTGTGACATGCACATGTTTTATTTCTTTGGAAAGAGACTCAGTAAAAATCATCAAAATAACGGCCCAAAAATCAGTAGAACTCAATAAAATATTTCACAGCTCTTTGGGAATGTTAGTGTGATGCAGAGGGGACCATAAACACAAACTCTAAACTGGTCTTTGGAGAAAGAAGGCCGTGGCTGAGCGTCTGGTGTTGAGTGAGATAGTCCCGAGCAGTGAGTCAAACATTTTAACTTTGTGTTTACATGTGTTTATCGGGAGCAGAGTTTTGATTTTCTTTCAGATGTAATGTTTTATACATACTTTTTGTGTGATTTGTATCAACTGATGTAAAACAAGGTGAGGTGGGGAGAACCCTAACCCTCCTGGCAATTTTTCAAAACAGAAGAACATAAATCTCGTTAAATCTCAGAGCATATCACACGTACGGATCTAAGTATTCTAGTAAGTCCCGCCTCCCGGGCTAATCACAGTTGGCCTCATCAAAGGAGATTTCAAGGAACAATAAAGATGTATGTTTGCCTTTTTATAACTTTTCATTGGGATTTCAACTTGAAGACAGAATTGCATTACATTTTAGCAGATATAATTGTAGATAAAATAAACAACAGCACATAAGTTTAGGCGCCTCAGGGTCATCAAAGGTACAGGTAATGCTTTTGAAACTGTATGACTGTATAGACAAGACCAGCTCCACACTATTAAAGCTGAAGTATATATTTTTTCCTTGACAGAATTTTCATTTTCTGTTTTGCTCTTTAAAAAGTTAATTGCAAATACAAAACTTTAAATCAGAATCAGAATCATTTTTATTGCCACGTAAGTAACAGGAGGTCACAGACTAGGAAATTGCTTTGGCTCAGTGCAACAGTCAAAAAGAGATAATAAAAATAAGAATAAAAAACACTTCTAAAGAATAAATTTAAATTTAAAATAGAGTTACAGTTACTATTTACAGTATACAAGTGCACATGGTGCACACAATGTAAGGTGACAGCAGTACAGTGAAGTAAAGTGACGTATGATGGGCAGTAAAGTGACTTTATAAAGGGCGGGGGGACAGGTTAAGAAGTGTTCAAGAGTCCAACAGCAGAGGGGAAGAAACTGTTCTTGTGGCGGGAGGTTCTAGTCCTGATGGACCGCAGCCTCCTGCCTGAGGGGAGTGGTTGGAATAGTCCATGGGCAGGGTGAGAGGGGTCGGCTGTGATACGACCAGCCCGGCCTCGAGCTCGGGCGACGTACAGGTCCTGCAGCGATGGAAGGCTGCGGCCGATCACTTCCTCTGCAGAGCGCACAATGCGCTGTAGTCTCTGTTTGTCCCTGACTGTGGCTCCAGCGAACCACACGGTGATGGAGGAGGTGAGGATGGACTCGATGATGGCCGTGTAGAACTGCACCAACATCTGTGCAGGCAGCTTGGCTTTCCTGAGCTGCCGCAGGAAGTACATCCTCTGCTGGGCCTTCTTGATGAGGGAGCTGATGGTCGGCTCCCACTTGAGGTCCTGGGTGATGGTGGTGCCCAGGAAACGGAAGGACTCCACAGAGGTGATGGGGGAGTCCATCACGGAGGGTGGGGGCGGGGGGACAGTGCTCTTCCTGAAGTCCACAATCATCTCCACTGTCTTCTGGGCGTTCAGCTCCAGGTTGTTACCACTGCACCAGGACACCAGCCGGTCCACCTCCCTCCTGTAGGCGGACTCATCGTTGTTGGAGATGAGTCCAATGAGGGTGGTGTCGTCCGCGAACTTGATCAGCTTCACGGAGTCGTGGCTGGAGGTGCAGTGGTTGGTGTACAGGGAGAAGAGCAGGGGAGAAAGAACACAGCCCTGTGGGGCTCCTGTATTTATAATCCGAGAGTCCGAGACATTCTTCCCCAGACGCACTCGCTGCTTCCTGTCCGTCAGGAAGTCAGTGATCCACCTGCAGGTGGAATCGGGCACGTTGAGCTGGGAGAGCTTGTCCTGGAGCAGGGATGGCAGGATTGTGTTGAAGGCAGAGCTGAAGTCCACGAACAGGACCCTGGCGTAGGTCCCCGGGGAGTCCAGGTGCTGTAGGATGTGGTGGAGGGCCAGGTTAATGGCGTCGTCTACAGATCTGTTGGCTCTGTAGGCGAACTGCAGGGGGTCCAGGAGGGGGGAGGTGAGGGACTTGAGATGGGAGAGAACCAGGCGTTCAAATGACTTCATGACGACAGACGTAAGTGCTACAGGTCTGTAGTCATTGAGTCCTGTGATCCTGGGCTTCTTCGGGACGGGGACAATGATGGAGGATTTGAAGCAGGCCGGGACATGGCAGGACTGCAGAGAGGTGTTGAAAATGTCCGTGAACACAGGAGTAAGCTCACTGGCGCAGTGTCTCAGAGTGGCCGGAGACACGTGGTCCGGGCCAGGAGCTTTGCGGGGGTGCAGCCTCAGGAAGAGTTGTTTAATCTCTTTAGCGGCTATTGTTAGGCTGGGGGCAGGGCTGATGGGTGGGTCGTTAGAGTAGTGGGGGGTGGGGGAGGGAGAGGTGTCAGGGGCAGCATCAAAGCGACTGAAAAATAAGTTCAGATCGTCAGCTAGCTTGTGGTCATCAGCACAGGGGGGGGCTTTGGGTTTGTAGTTGGTGATCTCCCGTAGGCCCCTCCAGACAGAAGCAGTATCGTTGTTACCAAACTGCTCCTGTAGTCGTTCTCTGTGCCGGGACTTGGCTGCTTTCAGTTCTCTCCTGAACTGATATTTAGCTGCTTTGTAGCCGCTGCGGTCCCCCTCCCTGAAAGCAGACTCCTTTGCTTTCCTGAGCTGCCGGAGTTTAGCAGTGAACCAGGGTTTGTCATTGTTATAGATGACCCTGGTCCTTGTTGGAATGATGCTATCCTCACAGAAGTGAATGTATGACGTCACAGTGTCCGTATATTCATCCAAGCTGTCTGTGGCAGCTCTGAAAAGGTCCCAGTCTGTAGATTCCATGCATGCGCGCAGCTCTTCCACAGCTTCATCAGACCACACTTTGGAGCTCCTCACTGCAGGTTTCGAGAGCTTTAGTCTCTGTCTGTAAGCAGGAACCAGATGTATCATGGAGTGATCTGAGAAGCCGAGGGCTGGCTTGGGAACCGCGCGAAAAGCTCCGCGCACGGTGGTGTAACAGTGATCCAGAGTGTTCTCCTCTCTGGTCGGGCATTTGATAAACTGTCTGTATTTGGGTAATTCCTGGCTCAAGTTTCCCTTATTAAAATCCCCCAGGATAATAATCAGAGAGTCCGGGTATAAGCGTTCCATACACAGTACTTGCTCTGCGAGTGCGCGCTGAGCCTCGCGCGCGTCCGCGCATGGCGGTATGTAAACAGAGGCAAGAATGAATGAAACAATTTCGCGCGGGGAGTAAAATGGTTTACAATGGATGAAAAGATATTCCAGAGCAGGAGAGCAGTGCTTGGAGATCACTGTCACATCGTTACACCAGTTTGTATTGACGTAGAAACACAGCCCTCCGCCTCTGCTCTTCCCTGAGAGCGCACAATGGCGATCCGCGCGGAACAGCCCAAAGCCCTGCAGCTCCAGAGCGCAGTCCGGGATCCGCTCATTTAGCCAGGTCTCAGTGAAGCAGAGGACACAGGATGTGGCGAAGTCCTTGTTTCTTCTCATGAGCAGGCTGAGTTCGTCCATCTTATTGCCCAGTGAGCGTACGTTGGAGAGAAAAATGCCGGGGAGAGCCGTGCGCGCTCCTCTCCTCCTAAGACGCACGAGCAGGCCTAAAATATATACAGTTTTAGTCATAATAAAACTAGAAATACATTTAACATTCGTAAACTTGTAAGGAGGAGCCATGTGAGTCACTATTTGACCCCTTGGGCTTGGAGCTGAGCGCTTCAAGAGAGATTGTCCCTTCGTCTCATTTCTGTCTCAGAAATCCATTGTTGAAGAACCCAACATTAAAACCACAATAAACTAGTTCCTCACTTTTTACACTTTGCTTCCATCACTAGTTTTCATGCAAAAAAGACGAAGACTACATGTTGTGGTCTGATTTATGTTCAGTTTTAAAAGACTTTTGGGACAAACCAAATCTTTTATTTATGAAACATAAAGGTACCCCAGCTTCTGGTATTTGAAGAAATACTGTATGCTATAAAATACTTTATAAGAGAGCGTAGTCTTTCCCATGTCTGTAACCCGGTGTGACCTTTCCTCGCATCAACACCGAGACCTCCCTCCTCTTGATTGTAAAATCCCTTTCTTCTTTATCTAACTTTGGATAAACATTGTGTGAAGAAGACAAACCCAAACAACAGTTGGCTGGCGCTCACAAGTGCTCACAGCTGCGTGTTCCGTTTGTTCAGAAGGCTGGAGCTGGACAGCAAGTTGGACTCTTCTTTCCAAACTGCAGCAGGAGAAACCCACCATGAGAATCCAAAGATACAGTAAACTAAGAAATAGTTGTATGCTATGGACTTGGTCTACTCAACCTGCGGCCCCAGGGCCAAATCCGGCCCTCTGAACAATCGATTCCGGCTCTCAGCCCCAGGTTAAATTATTAGCAAGTATTAGGCAGGATATTCTTGAAACTAATGTCTTCTTTCAAGTATAAATTTCAGTTTTGTCTTTCAAATGTCATAAATGAATACCTCTCTTGTCTGTAATGTTGTTTTTATAAAAGCTGGTGTAAAACAAATAACCAGGGACACTCAGTGGGCTATTTATCCAGCCCCGAGTGGCTCGGGAGTACATGACCATAGAAAAAAATATATATATATCATCCCTTTGGAAAATGTTGTTGATTAGCTGCAATAGATATTTTTATTAAGTCTTCAGCATCGAGTTCAATAAAAGACATGGCCGGTGTGTCTTGGGAACATTTGGGAGACAGGTATAGGGTCGACGGAGGACACATCTTTCGTTTCATACATGGAGCTGTAGATTGGATGCAGTAGAGCTGTTGCTTTTGGCTCGTTCCTCAGTGGAAACCTACTGTCTGCGTCTGCCTGAATGTTTGCCCTTTGACGAGACAAACTCCCCTCCAGTTCAAAAACACAGCTCCAAACCTTTGAGTTTAAGTTGGAAAGTCACAAATCAGAAGTGTGGAGCAGGCAGGAGTGGTTTGGAAAGGAAAGTGATTTGTATTGGTGTCAGATCCTCTTGGTTTTGCATGTTAAGCCTCTGAATATGTCGATGGCAGAAGTGTTGGTTAGTGGTTGAATGAGCTGGTGGGTAAAATGAACCGGCTGACTATGGAACAAGAGATGCACCGATCCCATGTCGTATGTCTGATACTGATCTCGATACTGTGGCTTTTAATATCTGCAGGAAAAAACCAAGCCAGGCCAAGAGATTATGATTTCACCAGAGCATTTACTGTATATAGGACTTTCTCCCCTTTCAAAGGCACTCAAACTTTACATCTAGGAACCGATCCCCCATTTGCACATACATTTGACCAAATTGTAATAATGTTTTACTAATGTTTTCATCACTTTTTGCAGTGTAGATCAACTAATGTTTTTTTCTTGACCAACATTTGCACCCTGACCCTGAGTATATGTTCGAGTTTGTTATTCGTTATCACTCAATGAATAAAACAACTTGGGCACATGAACCCCTTTGAAGGGAGTAAAAACAATGAATACAAGAGGAACGGTCGGAGAAAGATAAATTCAAATTTTGGGAATAGTTCAGATTGTTTTAATAATGTTTGAATTCCTGCAACCACATATATCAGAAGAAAGGCCCATGTGGAACAGTCCAGCTGCACAGAGCACGTATACAAGATCCATATCACCCTCAGTCGTACTGTATAAGGGCAAACCCAGAGTCTATGATGTTATGTACTGTAGAGTCCTTCCTCACTGCTGCTGTCAGACTGTTTAATGAGACTGTTTAACGGGTGTCACAGATAATAATTCACCAGTAAATTAGTCACTACTCTTACCTGTTATTATTACTGCATTATCCATCCATCTGATCTTCTGTCATTCACTAGTCACCCCAAGGCAAGGCAAGTTTATTTGTATTGCACAATTTCATACACAAGGCAATTCAAAGTGCTGAACAAAATAAGAAAGCATTAAAATCATAAATAATCCCAGTACATTAAAAAGAAAGATAAAAATGCTGAACAGAACTGTTTTTAACCTGGTTTTAACAATTGTCAGAGAGGAGGCCTGTCTCAAACTTTCAGGAAGATTGTTCAGAATTTTAGCAGCATGAATCTGAAATGCAGCCTCCCCATGTTTAGTCCTGACTCTGGGCACTAACAGGACCTGTACCTGTTGTTATTATTACTGCATCAATCCGTCTGATATTTGTCATTCACCAGTCTCTTTATCTGTTGTTATTGCTGCATTATCCATCCTTCTGATACTTCTGTCATTCGGGCAATAATTACACTGATATCTCTGTGGGACTTCTTATCTAAAAGCGAGAGTTTCACGTGTAGCTCTGTCATATTGTACATCTGCCTTATGCCCGTGCAGTGCTTTCAATGATCCACCAAAAGTCTAAAGAAATGTTCTACCTTTCTTTCATTCCTGAGTGGCTCGCTGCGTCGCCTGGATCGTATTAAACATATATTCATTGTGATAATTATAAGCAGCAGGCGAACTCGCTGCCAGCATTTCTCATCTATTTTTTGAGTAAATTTGACATTTGATATAATTATTCATTTCAATGTAAGTCAAGGGTTGGACTTGTTGCAAATACAAATAGTTAGCATGTGATGATAGCTATGGAAACTGAAATAACAGCTTTGTCTATAGTCAAAGTTGGCAATCTATCATAAAGGATGTGGAGGTCCTGGGTTCGATTCCACCTCCAGGCCTTTCTGTGTGCATTTTGCATGTTCTCCCCGTGTCTGTGTAGGTTTCCTCTGGGTGCTCCGGTTTCCCCTTCCACGATGAACATGTAGAATAGCTCTGAATGTCATGAGTGAGTGAATGGATGGTGTTGGTTGGGGTTTTTGATGCCAGTGTGTTCAGCGTGTGGAGAGAATTAAACAATATCTGAACTCTGAACATTGCAAAGCATTTTGGGTGACCATGGTCTGTCAAATGTGCTATATGAATAAACATTACTTACTTGCTTACTAATAATCCAGTCGGAGTGCCTCGATCTGGTCTACATGTATTTGTCTACTTTAAATTGCAGAGTAACTACTTTTGGCCCAATTTGACTGATCATAGACACTATAAAAGTAAATCCTATGTAAATAAATAATAAATAATGAGCGTAATGATTAATATATTATGCGGGTAACAGCACACTTGACCTTTTCCGTGTCCCAGTTAATCTTTTTTGTGTAAATTGTTGTAGCCACTGATAAGAATTAAGCCGGAGTGTGTTGCCAAGACCTTTTCCAATCATGAAAAATGTTGACATCATGAACTTTTTATCTTCACACAAGAATCTCCCTCATCTTTCCAGCTTTTTATCTTCTTCTTGAAATATATTTAAAGGAAACGTGTGCACTAATTTGGCATTTTCATTTTTCAGTTTGAGGAAAAAAATATATGAATATCTGTGTGCTTTTCTGATCAACATGTGATTGGTGATTACATGTGATTGTCTGATACTTTGGTTCTCAAGCTGGTTATCCAATCAGAACCCAGAATGAGTGTCACATGAGTCTGTAATTTGGGTTTCTATAGTTCTTTAATAATCAGAGCAGGAGCAGCAGCTTCATGTGTAAGATTAAGAATGAGAGATCCTTTATTTGTCCCAAAGTGGAGAAATTTCAGTGTTGCATCACCGGTTACAGAACAGTAGGAACGAGTAGCACACGAGATAATTGAACAATACAGTAACTCTATACTAAATACAATATAGTTTAAAACTCTAATTGTAGCATAAAAGTAGCAGTATTCAATCTCTATCTTTAGCAAAATGAGTACCAAAACTCTGACTTTTGCATAATAAAGAAGTACAAAATGCTCTACCTTTGGTGCAATAATAAAGTTTTGTGTATTCAAGTGAAAGTGTGTGTGCTAAAAGCATGGCTACCTAACTTTGAAAGAATTCTTAAAAACTATTTTAAAAATCCATGTAGCTGATTCTTTGCATCTCATAGTTTGTTTCCATCAATAGTTTTCACATGCATGTATTTTTGACATCTTTTAATGAAAAAGAGAGGACCACCATCACTCAGCCAATCAGCTCTCAGTAAAAGATCAAATGTTTACTAATAAGATAGGGAGAATTTGGATGTGTTTTGTGAGTTAAATAAGACTCGTTCTGCTGGGACATACTAAAAGTATTAATGGAACAAAAAAAGTTAGGTGCCCCAGCTTTAAAAACATGCACTGCTTGTCCACTGGCATCTAAGGGGTAGTTGTAATAGTCCTTCTATAAAACCAGTGTGAATGAAAACTACTTATGGTTCCTTTATAAGTCACCATGAAATTATGCATCAAATTTCTCCACAGATGCAGGGAATGTGTGTGTGTGTTTATGTGTGTGTGACATTTAGCCAGCATGAGTTTAGTTAAAAAAGAATAGACAGCATTTGTAGTTTTTCAGTAGTTTTATTGAAAAATGCCTCTCTGTTTCTGAAATAAATAAGAAAATAAGGCTGTGTGGAATTCACAAAATGTGCAGTCAAAACATGAGAACAGCTTTTGGGATAGTGTCACAAACCAAATCATACTGCACAGTATAAAGACAACAATTACATTTGGACTTGGAATTCTTCAGTAAATATACACATGCAAGCCCGTTTTTGGTCAGAGACGATACATGAACAAATCTCCTTTTTTGACTGTCAAAACATTCAGAAAATCTTTTGGGAATGGAATATTGAAAAGGTCTAAAAACATACACTCTACTGATAGCATACTTTTAGCTGGTCTAGTGCAGTACATGAGGAACTCGAATGAACAGTTGCTTTTATATTACAAGCCGACACAAATATGAACACAAAGACACACAGGTTGCATTTTGGTATGTAACTTTCTCTTGTCAAAAATATATATATGTTCAACATAACCAAGGGTATCAAACCCATAAGTACTAGATTGTTTCAACACTTTTGTACATTTCTATTTGAGAACTTAAGACCCCAAAAGGAAGCTATGATCTCTTTGCGTTACCCCGATGTAGCGATCTCTTTCTCCTTTGTAAGAAATCGGATGAATCTATTGTCTCAAATTCTGCCTCGGGCTCCACAGGTAAAGGCACTACGTCAGGTGCGGGCTGGAAGCGGGTAGCTAAAAAAAAAGTTGTGGCCAAATCAAACAAAAATTGTATCTACAAGTTTTCATATATGCACAAATTAAATTATATTGCACTGCGGAATCTTTCATTGAGAAAAAAATCCCTGTATGTAAAAAGCCTTGCACACTTGTCTGGTTCTCACGTACGGCTGAACTGTGTTACAATGGATTAAATACATACTAAAATGTCAAGCTACAAGATCGAACCAAAAAAAGGCCAACAGACGTAATAAGGAACATGCTGGATGAGAGATGTGGTAAGGTTATGCTGGTGGTGAGTAAGCGGAAGGTTAAGCGGCGGAAAGATTCAAAATACAATGCTTTAGTGTGATTCCTGGATCATAAATCATTTACAAGGCACACAACACTAGTTTATTTACACATATCACTTTATCGGCACCACGGTTTTGCTTTTCTGATATCCTCTCTGTTAGTGGAACATGCTCCTTCTTTGCGTAGAAATGTTTTGCCTCTCTTGCTTTCCTCCATGTTTGTAGTTCAAGATGCAAACAGGCCTGCTGCAGGTTGTCATAAGATGGTGTTAGTCAGTTCTGCTCCGTATGCTTTTGGCTTTTTTATTTTTGCAGTGTCAGTATGTCCATGGTGTTTATCCTTAGATGCCTCCCTTACAAACAGGGCAAACATACATCCCAGAAACAGGACTTCAAAGTGAAAGCAGCACAGTGGACTTAAGGTTTACTATGCCATACCTGGAAATGGGTCAGAGAAGGTGTGAGTTAAGTTATGGGCATATCACAATAACAGATTTTATCATGCTGGTTCTAACATATCTGAAATGTATGGAGAGAGAAGAATCGTATCATAGCAATAGAATATGAACTCAAAATATGTGCAGTCGAAACTAAAAAAAATTAGAATATCGTTCAAAGATTCCAAGCTATTTTACATGTGAAACCAAAGCAGACTCATTAGATGCAAAGTGATATATGTGATCTTTTTGATAATTATGGCTTAGTCCTTTATCAAAAGATTCTGAGGATCAGAATTGCTTTATTTTTGTTTTCCAGCTGTGAGCCATAATGATCAACATAATAGTAAATAAAAGCTTGATATACCTGACTTTGCTTGTAATGCGTCAGTCGTAACAGTTTCCCATTGCAAGGTGAGTTAGATAATTACATTTACTACAATGGAACAATATTCTAATTTTTGTAGTTTCAGCTGTATTCTGTTTTTGCCGGAATTGGGGGACATTGGATTCCATCGCTCCATACATTTTAAGTAGTGAGTTGACATGCATATATTTAGTCTTGTTTGACTGGAGCTGCACCATGCAGGCCTAGACAGTGGGCAGTGTACCTGTATATCCTTGACCGTTGTAGGGAATGCCAACACACTGGGAGGAGTCGCAGTAGCCAGGTGGTCCGGGTGGTCCCCTGACTCCGGGAGTACCTTGTCGACCTGGCGGACCCCGAGCCCCAGAGGAACCAGGAGAACCTGGAGATCCTGTCCTGGACTCGCCTGGTGGACCTGTGAGAGTCAAGAGGAAACGCACTGACATCAGACAGACATTATTTAGAGGAAATTGTAGGGTCCAGTCCATGTAGCCGGGAAATGTAACTGCTTCAATGAGTCAATTAAAAAGCATGACAAAAAAAGAAGATACGGTCTGGTGTTGTGGAGTTACCCCCTGGCCCCGTCCGTCTAGACATTGAAAATTCAGGATGGAATTTTCCCCCACTCTCTGTTCTCTGTGATTTAAGTGGGCCCATGTGTTGTCAATGAAGCCACCAATGAGAGCTCATTGTGCAGCAGCTTGATTCTCACACACACAATCGTGAGTCAGAGGACTTCCTCCCACTGGCCTTTCTCACTTCATTCACAGAAACAGAAAAGTCACTGTTTGGGTGAGTGGGCGACACACACAAGATTCAGGCCTCTGATCATGAAAATGCATTTCTCTGGAAACAGGAGTTTTATGATGTGGTGAGGGTTTGCAGAAGACACGATAAATAATATGAAATTATGTCTCACATGATTAAGCCATGCACTGAAATACAATCCCCAAACAGTATTGCAAAAACAAAAGGCTAATGCCTTATCCACTTGTCTTTTTATCTGAAGGATTTGGAAAAAACATAATACAGTAATAGAAGATTCTGCGATTATTAATGTTGGTAGATCTTTGTGTGTTTTCACAAACACAACTATTGTTTTGAGCCACATCAGCCAGAGGCACGCAGCTGCTGCAGACCACTGCTCAGCCCAAACAACAGGCCTTAGTGTTGTGGATTAGGCTTAGGTTTTGGAGTGTTGAAGTGTAAAGAATTTGTTGAAGGAAAGCAGAAGTGCTGTTTACCTGGTGGCCCGGTCACGCCCCTTTGTCCTCGAATGCCAGTTCCAGGAGTTCCTCTCTCTCCCTTCTCTCCCATTAAACCTACATTAGGAAACAGCATGAGCTTTGGCTTTCAGTCCACTCACTAAACTTCTTTTAAAGAAAACTTGCCTCTTTCGCCCGCACTTCCAGGTAACCCTGGACTTCCTGGAAAACCTGGTCTGCCAGTCTGTCCCTGCTCGCCTCTGGAGCCTGGGTCTCCGGGGGGACCCGCAGGACCCGGTGGTCCTGCTGTGCGACTGTTGTATCCAGAAGGAATCTGGTTGATCAAGTGGTCAATGCGGTTCATCTGACCTGTGAAGTAAAAAGTACAACATTTAAAATAACACAAACAAAAAGAGTGTAATGTGGCGAGAGAGACTCACTGTTGACGAGCTGCTCACACACTTGTCTGGCAATGGACCGCATCATGTTCTGAGAAGCCACATCTCCCTACACAACACAAGGTGAGATTACTATTAGTGAGATGACAGAGCAAACAGATATCTAATAAGATGTAAACAGTACATACCCTCTCTCCCTTTTCTCCTTTAATACCAGCAGGACCCTGTTGAGTATGAGTCAAAGCATAAGTAAAATACAGGTGCACTTGGTGATTGTTAAGTTCTAATACATACAGGGTTTCCTGTGTCTCCAGGTTTTCCAGGTTTTCCTGTAATTCCAGGTACACCAGGGTTTCCAGGGTTTCCCTAAACCAAACAAAACAAAAGTGCAGCATTATAATCACAGTGCATCCTCCTGACACTGTCATCATATTAACTTGTGTTAATAGTTGTCTGCAGAAAAGGAAAAGGATGTGGGCTTTGACATCTGTACTGCATATGCCACAATATGCCAAGAACACCAAAGGGGCTGGAAACACACACACAAACACAGCCGCTGGTAATGGTGGCTGCAGCAGGATGCATGTCAGCTCCGTACTGGCACCGGCCCTCACAGCAACAACGATACATTAAGTAGATTCAGACGTGGTTCAAAACCACAGAAAGAAAATGAGAAACAGTTTTTTCGGTGGAGAGCTGTGGATGATCTTTCCTCAGCCTTCCAGCAGTGTAACGGTGAAACCAGCACTAATTACAGTAAATGTGTGAGGACATAAAGCTCTGAGCCAGGGATATTTATGTGGCCGTGTGACCAGGGACAACATAAACACACTCACCATGGGCCCCGCTGGACCTCTGGGGCCAGACTGTCCCTCTTTTCCTGGTTGCCCCTGTGGAGAAACAACATACAGTCACAATGCATCACTGACATTACATTGCTTTGTGTCTGACACAAGTGAGAAAGCTCAGTTAATCACATTCACAGAGCAAATAAGAACTTAAGTAAGTGTGAGGTTCATGTTCATGTGTCGTTTTGAGAACAGTGCATGAATGAAAAATGCCTGATGTAAATCTCACCCGTGCGCCGCTTGGTCCAACTGGGCCCAGAGGCCCCCGTGGCCCTGGAGAACCCTGCCAGAGTAACACACACATCATTAGGAGAGAATAATGAGGACCAATCACACTTGTACATTATGTAAAATGAGAATAGTTTAGTTAATCCTGACACAGCATCTGGCTTCAACTGTTCAGTTCATGCATGACAATGTTTGTATATCTTATTCCAAATGTCCTTCCTGAAGCTTCTGCAATACATCCTCAGGACTGGTACTTGAAGTTTAAAATGAACAATGACAAGACTGTATTAACTTTGGATCAGCTGATTGACACTTCACACATAAGTAGAAGTTTAGTGCTCGTTCATCACTTTATGAAACAGAAAGCTTTGGACTATTGCAATAAAATTGACGCGTTTAACAGATGTACAGACATGGAGTGTTCTAGAATAAAAGTTGGACACTTTCCAATCCACAGTTCCCCATTGGTAACACAAGTCTAGGTCTTTTAACAGTTTAACTGTGAGACTGGCTCTCCACTCTTTGTCAATCATGAACATTGAGGAGCTCCCGGAGGACAGCAGCAGAAGACACCACTTTGAATGTGGCTTCGATCAGGCTCCAAAAGCTCTGCTCTCCATGGACAGTCTGCTTCCTGTTCGTAACCACAGAAACCAGAGAAACACTCACTTGTAGACCTGGCAGGCCCTGGGCTCCTGGATCTCCCTTTGGTCCTTGTCGTCCCTGTCGGTAGAGGAGAGAGAACAGTCAGACCTCAGAACCCTTTAATGTTTTATTTGATTGTTTTGACATGATCTGCAGGTAAGAAAATAAAGGAATGCTCGGTTTGGTTGGCTTAAGATGTTTTGTCAATACTTACAAATTCCTTTCAAAGGATTTATAACCACAATATTTTAATACAATCCCACAGGTTTTCTATAAACGCCAAAACACATCAATCAAAAGCTATAACTGCTTCCACAAGCATGGACATTTTCTTTCCATAAGCAGTAAACAAATCAGACTCACAGGTTCACCAGGTAGAGACAGTCCGTTTGGCCCTTGAGGACCGGGAGGTCCCATTGAACCAGGAAGTCCGAGTTCACCACGTGGCCCCATTGGCCCCTTGCAGAGGGCAAAGATGAAGTATTACAGTGCAGCAAACAAGGTTTATCAGTTCATCTTTCAGATCAGGGCAATGAGGTCCTGAGTGAGGTTGTATTTTTGTACGGTATATGATTTCTGTTTCAAAACACAAGGTTTGACTTACTGGAGGACCTGAGTCTCCTCTGTCTCCTCTTGGGCCCTTGCTACCTGGTCCTCCCTAGATTTTCAAAAACACACAGTTAAGTGTAAGTAGTGTTGGTCACACACGGAAATATAAATGAATGTAAATCTTTTGACAGGTTCATAAACCAGCGAGCTGCCTCCTCCCAAAGCCATATTATGCCATAAACATCAATAATTGTCACAGAGAGGCAAGGTGAAAATGGACAAATTGCTATAATTATAGACAATGATATAATAGCAATAATAATGATATTATATGATAGTTTTACCGAAGGTCCAGGAGGCCCTTGTGGACCGATGCTGTCTTGCGTGCATGTGCAGGAGTGTGGCAGGGATGGACACTTGGCCTCGTCTCTCTGAAACACACAATTATAATGAAATATTTATGCAAAAACATTCACACCTTGGAAAACCATATTAACAGCCATGAAACACTTAAATGACACTTAATCGAAACTCTTACAGTGGATGGCAGATCACAGCATTTGTCTCGGCTGATCCAACTCAGGCTGCAGACAATGTCAAACATCTGGAGCTGGAACTGTAAGACAGAAAAGTAAAAGTGAGGAAAAAGATTACATAAAGCACTATTGAATAAAAAGACCCTTGTCCCAAAACAGACAACAATAAGTGCTCAGATGTGCCTGTAAAGACACTGCAGTCGCTGAGCGCGTGTAAAAGTTAATCGTGCATCTCCACACCAGAGAATAGGCCTATTTACCACTCAGAGATGATCTTTTAAAATGTGCTTTTCCCAGAACTTCAACAGCTTATTTTCACTCACTGTAGCTGACTGCCTCTTTCCTCCTCCAGACTTGACCATCTTGCCAAGCACTTCATAGCCTTCCAGAGTGATGTTGTTGGCCTCCTTGATGGGCTTCTCTGCCACCGCTTGGCAATCCACGTTCATCGTGACTTTCTCCGGAGAGACACTGATGTGAAGCTAAAAGGGAAAGATGAATGAGTATTTTAGAACGTCAATTGTATTTGGTTCTTTCCATTGTGTGTTTCAAAGTTTTGTGTGACTCAATGGAACAGATTTGTTTCCCAAGGGAGAGTTTTCGAGTCAGAGACCAGGAATGGGTATACGGCATCTAAATGTTGCATCCTTCCAAATGCATTGAGTTTTGATGAGTTCTGTGGGTGGCAAAGATCTACCAACAGAAGTGAGAATGGGGAAAGGCAAGCTTTGGCAGCATTTACTTCAATGGTTGTACTTGAAGAAGCAGGAGTTTGGATTTGCTGACGTGTTTAATCACACACTCAAATATTACCCCAATGCGGTTAGAAATTTGGCATTCATCAACTTTGTAATGTCTCCAAAGACGGATGAACTCTGTGCAAATGCAGACTTTTGTGTCTGTTTGTTTTTTTTCAAAGCTGTGGTGAGTGATTGTGTAAGGCCCAATGACACAGTGCCAGGGTTGATGGTTTCCTGTCCAAGGCGCCTCGTTCACATCTTGAAATGATATCATTTGCGGTATGCCATCAAAAGTGCTACACTTTCCATACTTTTTCTTCTCAATGGCAAATTTTCCCTTTCTCAATTATCTGAAGGATTTCTTTATGTCACAAAAGGCAGCTCTTGGCAACTCATTACAAAATAATGTTTGTCTTCCAGAGTGATGGAGAGGAATATGGCATGGAAATATTATTGTGTTTGTACACTGGGTTTGCTGATGATTATTATCGCCTATAACACGCTGTTAACCAGTTCTGCAGAATATTAGTTTTAAATATACCCACATCACACAACCACAGCCAAAGCAGAGAAGTAACCATTATTTATTTATATGCAACATTAAACAGAAATATTGCTTCTGAAAAGTTTGTGTAATGAACTTGCTGACCTAGTTACCAAGTAAAATGTAATGTAACTTTAACAGAACACAGAAGATCAAAAAAGGAAGCATGCCAGTTATCCCTGTCTACATCTTGCTTTATCCTGGATGTTGTTTGATGCTAAATGTAAAAAGAAAATGTTGTCTTCTAATGTTTAAGGTTTAGTTGGTTCTTTAATTAGGAAAAAGTTAAGAAAGCTATAGTACTGCTTAATAACAAGATCACGTGTCAACTCTGACGAAGACGGAAGTGTACCTCCGAAACACGTCAGGTAATTAAGCTGTACTAGCTTTCCTTGCTTATTGTCTTATTGAAAAAAACCCTCTATAAACATTATCCTCTCCTATATTGATACCCGGTCCAAATGAGATCTTCATATTTGATCTTTCAGAAAAGTGGCAGGCCTTCTAATCAGCTTCCTGTCTCACAAAGGAGTCTGCATGTACGACCACAACCGTCCCGACCACAAAGTCCAATGGAAGATTTCAAATTACAGCAGAGTTTTGTACGTGGGATGTGTGGAGTGCAGTGCAACACAATTCTGAACTCAATGATGCCTGGTGAAAGTCATGGAAAATCCTCTCCCCATGACCTAACAGGAAGGGTCCCCCGATGGTAACTCACCCTTAGAGTGTGGGAGGGAGGGAGCTACATCTGCCAAAGCCATTTCTGACCACTTTCACACATGTTCAGAATCACTGAAGCTGGGTCTGAATCTTGCAACAAGTTTGAACTTATATAGATTCTTCATAGCATTTAATCACAAAAACTGAGTAAGACATCAATGTATGTACTGTAAGCCTGAGTCCAACTTTCTACACAAAGGCAGGTGAACAAATGGCCTTATATCATTTGATATAGAGTGTCAGGCCAATATTCAAATGTCGTGTCACACAGAATCATTGTGTTTTACAATAACTCTGCTCAGAGAGTTGAGGTTGAGGATATCAACTTTTAGTCACAGAATTATCCATTTTTCAAAACGGCCATCATCATAGTATGTGGTTTTGTCATTGATGCAATGCAAAAAGTTTGCTTTAGACCATTCTCAGAGTCTATAAAAGTACATTCTGAACCAGAATTTGAATCAGAACTGCTGTCGTCTGGAAGGACTTTACAAAGTTATCGATTCGCCAATAACAGATTAAAGAATCAAATGATTCTAACACAGGAAACACAATAATAACACATAAAACAAAAAATGGGAAACCACGGGGAGGCCCAAGTTGAGAAAGGAATTCACACCCATGGATGAACAGGTCATCCAGGCTAAAGAAAAAGGCGAGGACTGAGGCCGTGCAGCACAGAAATGAACAGGCCCCCAGGCAGGGTGGGAGGTTTGCAGCCCATGAGCCCAGGCCAGGGGCGACCAGTTCACAATTTTATTTATTTATTTATTTGAAAAGGAGGGACAATACATATTAATGAACATTTTCACAAATGTAAATATGCCAGATTATAGCCTTAGGCTAATTTCCATCTGCAGACCCCCTGGCAGGTTGGTGTTAAGCATAGGTTAGTAAAAACATACAGAGACACTATATACAGACTATGTACAGAGAGACAAGGACGAGTACAGGGATCACTTGATAGAACAAACAATAAAACGAGTGGACAACAAAGGACAATATAGAAAAACAGTAACGGGAAAGCATCGACTGTATTGCACAAACCCCAATATTGCACATAACCTGACAGACCCAATATTGCACTGACCCATATTGCACCATTCTATATTGCACTGACCCGCATTACACTAACCCCCATTGTATAACCCATGCCCAACAGACTCCCATTGCACAGCCCGTATGACACTGATAATTGCATCCCCTTTTGTAACCATCATCATTAACTAAACATGATCACATGTTTGTGTGTCCCTCAGCCACACTTTTAAATGACTCCTAAAGGTAGGGAGACTTGTGCTTTCCCTCACAGACAGTGGAATACTATTCCAGAAGCTCACTCCCTGATATGACAGGACATTCTGTGAAAAGCTGGTCCGCCTAAATGGCAATTCACAATCACTTCTCACAGTGGCTCGAGTCACTCGAGACCCGGCACTGATAGACTTTTGTTTAATAAAATCACTCAATGGGGGAGGCGCCAGACCATGTATGACCTTGTAGATTAGACAGGCTGATTTAAATAATTTAAAATTAGCAAAGTTTAAAAACTTATATTTATCTAAAATTTGACAATGGTGGTATGATGAAGGTTTCTTGTCTAATATTTTCAATGCTCTTTTGTAGCATACTTCGATTGGCCCAATAGCAGCATGACTCGTATAGGACCAACTTGTGATACAATACTCAATATGAGCCAGTATCATAGAGTGCAGGAATGTAATCGCTGCTGTATCCGTTAATGATGTTCGAATATGTCTGAAGTTCCGTATATTAACATTTACAGTTTTCACTACTTTTTTAATGTGTTTTTTGACTAAACTATGACATTGTTTATCGTCCCATTTCTAATGACACGTGCTATATTCCTAAATGATCCAAACAACCCAAATGTCAGCGTACGTTATTTCTGCTAAACATTGTACATAGAAAGCAGAAGGATGAAGCAAAGGGCTTTTTCATGACAAGGCCTTGGTCACACACATTAAAATGAAGCTTTGGCCTTAATGTTGGTCTACCACAGACATAAAAACACACACCACCAGTTGGCAGGGACGATTACTCAGCGGTACGGTAAATAAGCAGCTAGGTGGACCGCCGCAGCCTCATCAGCTCATACAACAGCAACTTCTAACAACCACAAGCCACTCACGGGACACTCAGAGTCTCCAGTCTCCCCCAAAGACACAGAACGGCACGCATAAATCAGGCTGGTATCCAAGGGGAACAACGGTGATGTCATTTTAATCCATCGCTGTTCCCCTTACCCGTTCATTCCGTATGTTACCCTGCAATTATCGGTGGAGATGCAAAACGCTCCAAATCCGGGGGCGGTTACAGTAAGCTCAGATCCACAGGCCAATCGTTAATATCAGTAGCATCATCTTAAAATCTCATCCAAGTTACAGCTTGTGAAAGAGAAGGCTGCAAGTTTTTGACTGAATATCTATGTGTGATACTTCTGACTGATTATTTAGTGATTTATTTATTTCTATCTATTTCGGGAAAGTTACATTTGATGAAGGTACATATGTGGTGTTTACCGCAAATTCAATTCTCAATCGTTTCATTTTTTATTGCAACATTTCAAAAATCAACGCTAAAAATAAGTCGTTTTTATTTTCTCTCATAACATTCTCAGTCAGAGCAGTGTTGTGGAAGTGTTGAGCGTTTTGGTTTATGTAAAATATGCAAAAGATTTGGAGTGAGAAAATAATGCTCTGAGAATACAAGATGAAAAAGGCATCAAAGTTCCATCAAAGCTTCAAATACTAAAATCAATAGATTTTTTTCCCCAAATCCTTGTGATTTTCTGCATATTTCATGGTGTGGATTTTTGTTATTTGATACTTTGTTTTGTTTTTGTAATTTCAGTTTTCTAGTTTCAACAGTTCAAGTTTTTCTTCCCGTTCTGTTTCAGATTTCCTGCCGCACCCATGAGTTTCACCTGAGCCTCCCATGTGCCCCTCTCCTCATAGTCTTTCCAATATCTATGTCATATCTTGTTCTCCTGATTTCACTTAGATTTCCAATCATTTTATCTTGGATCTGGCTTTCATTCACTAAATAATCCTTGAAATTTGCTGTGTTTCATTACATTTCATGACAATTCTCATTCCCTTGTTTGTGTACAAAGAACTACATACAGTGCATCAGGTTGCAACCACAAAAACTGCAATCCCGATTTGCATGCAATTAATCATGCAGCCCCAGTGAAAGGTCGGCCATTTTGGATCCCTTAAACCAGCCATTCCCAAAATCAATAACACCCCTTAAAAATCGGACGGGTCTGCGCGGCCACCCGAAATAAAAACCAAGAAGACGACGTTAAAAATAGGCTGTTCTCTTTATTTTATTTGGGGGAAATAGCCTCTGCTACAAACATGTAAATGACGCACCCCATTTTGTAATATAAAAATAATTAGTTTGATTATTCAAGTCAAATAATGGACAAAAATATTTAAATTTTACAAACAAAATATAAAATAATCAAAACATTTTTTTTATGACCTCTCGTGGCCCCCCCTTCAATACCCTCCGGACCCCACTTTGTGAGACACTGCCTTAAACGAACGCAACACTCCACAGAGATTTAGAGGCTGCATTCAAACTAAAGAGTCGTCCGAGGTCGCGCCATAAATTGAATATAACTCATTGTCGGTCTGTATACACCACACAGAATGGTTTGAATTTTCTTTGCTTTAAGCCTGATGTCTCCTTTAAACACTCCACTAGACTTTAGCGATGTGCCTGGCTTGATAAAAGCGCTTGGTAAACCGCAAAGGAAAAACAAAACAATACATTACTGAAGCCAATGTCAGCGCCATGGGTGGGAGTTAGACGCCAAATAACTTTGACATGTTTACAGTGTGCTACTAAACGGTATAACTAAATCATGTAGATCAAATACACAGACAGAGTTATTACATTATTTCTGCTTACAATGACAAATAATATGACCACAAGCATTAGCAAATTGATTTAACAAGCTTTTAACCACGCATCCAAGCAATCCAAGGACAGGCGCTGTAACCTATTTCAGATTTAAGTCGAAGAATATCGGAAAACATATCCACATGCAACACTTTAATGTGTCTCAGGCCATTTTTCTTTCCTATCTTTTAAAATCAAAGATACAGCAGCTGTCTTTAAAATGAAAATCAGTTGCTTCAGTTCATTTCAAAAGCAATTCTTGATGTAAGCCCAAATCGAGAGAGAACAAATTCATAATGCAATTGAAAATGTTCTGTCTCTAAGAATGTGCTTTGGAATGTTGCTAACCTCCACCAGGTGATGTTGATACTCAGATGTGGCCAGGTCTTCATGCTTAATAGTTTGCACTGTTCGCCGGGTCATTGCATTTTCCACCCGCTTCTCTGAACAATTTTAAGCCTTCAAGCCATATTTCATGCATCAACCGTCCGTGGCCTGACGAAAGCCTCATGTCCAAACTCAAAAGAGGGTGGTTTCTTTAATGATAAACAATCGCAGAGACGAACAAAGGCTGAGACTCAGTCAGAATGTTTGGTTTCATTTTAGAGGATAGTTTGGGTTGTGAATCTGTAGAGGCGAAACGAGATCGACCCTGTGGTCTAGAGCCTTGCACTTGAGCCCTTGGCCCGAGGGCCCCGACGGCCCGACAGCCCGAGGGCCGGGCTTCGGGCCGATGACCGCATAATGACCTCGGACACGGGCCGGGCTCGGGCTCTTCATTTTCAGAGCGGCAGAATAGATTTACGAGCGCACCCACTGAATATAGCGTTCTATCACGCTGTAGTGTTTCTTGTTCTGTGTAGTGTTGTCATTGACGGCACATAGCATTACTTATGTAATGTGCAGATGTGTTGCAGCATCGGGGGCATCATACAGATGCGGCCGTTCACTCTGCACCACTCCGCACACACAGAACTCATTACAACACATCACTACCATGTATAACTCCGCCCTCTAGCTAAGTCTGCGTTCATATCAGTGCGCGGCACTATATACTACGCTAAAACATTGTTATGGGAGGTTACAAAAAAAAAAAAAGGCGGGCTTGATGCGGGTTTCGGGCCTGAAAATTCAGAAACCATATCGGGCCGGGCCGGGCTGGGGCGCCACCCCCTCGGGCCAGGGCCGGGCTCGGGCCCAGATAATAGGCCCGTGCAGGGCTCTACTGTGGTCACTTACAACATCAACAACATTCTTATCCACTTGATATAAGGACGAATGTTTGTGCTAAACCTGGAAAATATGTTGGATCGGTTCCATGGCATTGGAGCCAACATCTTGCCTTTTCATTTATTTAGTATAACGCCATTTTCATGGCTTTACTGTAAAATATGTTTAAAAAATCTAGTTTTATAGAATTCTAGAGCTGATTCTAGTCCGAAACTGGCCTATAGTCAGTCCTTCTACTCTTAAAAGGTTGTTCTGTAGTTACTTGCAGGGAGAATGACAGTTGAATAGCATAATTGGACCCATTTTGTTACAAATATTTGTCTTTGAGGGGAAAAACACCATTTTCAGCTCCTTCACTGGAGTCAGTTCATGTATCAGCAGATGTTGAAAGTATCAAGATCGATAATGAACATGAAAAAAACAGATTTGCTTCCTCTTCATTATCCCCATAAGAAGGATGTACTGAGACTTAGACAAACTTGGGAAATATGTTTAGTGTCAAAAGTTTTCAAATAAATTATGAATGTCAAAATTATGAATGTCAAAAGTATATACTGTACATAATTAAATATGTAATGTAACCTACTCAGGCAACACACAGGCCCCAACACTCTCTGACCCTACACCTCTCATCTCTCCGCCACATACATCTGAAGAAAGCGATGTTTACCTTATGGAAACTGCCGTGGAAAACCCTCTTGACTTGGTCCTCGTTGAAGACCGCTTTCTGGATCTCTCCGCGGGTGTCCTTGTTATAGAACGTGATTGTTTTGCTTGAAGCTGAAAAGAGAGGAGACTTCGATGACGTGATGGTACGTTGTGGTCGCACGCAAAAGGCAGAAGCAGAGACCGCACGGCTCAGGACAGAGCAGGGGGATCAGGAGAAGGATTAGGTTCCTCACTGTAATTGTTGACATACGTGCGGCGCGTGTGGATGCCATTTTTGTCAAAGGGATATGAGACAACTATTGTAGTGATGAAAGCCTGTTTGTAGTGGTCTGCAAAACCATGTTGGTATGGGACTGGTTCAACTTTTCAAACAGTGTATTTCTGTTTGTTTGGTGTCAATAAAAACCACAACATGTTCATAATAACAAATTATTTTAGCAATTTTTAATTGTTCTTTATCTGGCATCACTTAGACTTATATGACCGCTTTCCACTCAATGCTTTAGTTGAGTTCATGTTTATCATTTGGAAATGACACATCTTAAAGGCCCACCCCCCACATCTTGGCCTTAAAGAGTTTGGTTCTACCTGTATCTCTAGTTTCCACAGTGAGGTCTACACCAACTCTCCTACATGGCGTCGAAAGCCAGTCGAAGAGACATGTCCAAACTTAGGCCAAGAATGCAAGAAGAGTTCGACCTTTTGACCACTGAAAATGCTGACTTGTTTGGCGATAGTTCTTCTTCTTCTTGTGATGACATTTACTTTTATTGAATCTGTGCTCTGGATTTGTTTTTTCAATATTTTATTACAAGATAAGTGTCCTACATAAGGAGAAACAAATAGGCGCTGAATTTATAAACCCTGTATTGGGGAGATGTCTCTTTGCCTATGCTCTTCTGTCTATCCTATAGCCAAGTAATATCCGAATAAAGGATCTCTTAAGATGAGAGAAAGCATGTGTGGGTGTGATTTGACTTTTACAACTCTTTCTAATGGGAGAAGCAGTATGGATTACTCATGTACCCCAGCTTTAAACATCTAAATGTGGTACATGTCAAGAAAACGTATCTACATTGCGTTAAAACTGAGCAGGTCGCATGGAGCACACAGGTGTCCACATGTTTACTGACAGCCTCCTCTCTGCGGACACTCACGGTTGACGGTGAGGCCGACCTCCGGGTTGTTGTTCTTGTCGGATATCTGCCATATGTCAAACGGCTCGGATCCAGTGTCAGGAAGCAGCCGGAAGAGCAGGACCATGGTGTACGAAGGGGGAAGACCGTCCGGGTGGATCTCCCTGTTTGATAGAAAACACACAGCATCTGTTTGAAATGATCCTCAGGAGACCAGACATCCGACTGGAACATCAACACAAAACATACAGCCATCCAGCTCCCATTTCAGCCCAAGCATCCCATCGGAAAAAGTCAAATTCTTCATCTACCCTCGGAAAGATTGTCCACATATTGAAGAAATTGAAGAAATTCTGCAGAAGGCCTTTTGGGCTTGAAGCGTGTTGGTGCATATCTTTTTAAATACTAGAAACTTGTTCAAAAGACCATTTACTTCGGTATTTAAACTCAAATTGCAACACTAATATATGACTCTATCAAGCCATTATTTGTCTGTATTGTATTGGCTCACAGCTTGTAAAAACCACAAACAAAACATCTCAGAAAATGTTAGTATTCTGTAAGCCATTCTATATAGCCATTCTATAAGCCTTTTTTTGTATTCTATAAGCCATTCTATATTCTATAAGCCATAATAATCTACATTAAGGATTGCATGCCAATTAGCCTATAATAAGTCTTTTTCATATATTGCTCTGATATTAATTCATTGAATTAAAGAAATAAATAACCCTGTCTGTACACCCCTCCAACGGATCACCAGGTTTTAAATATTTGAACAACTATTGCACCATGCAGCAGCCTTATCTAGTTCTGGAAACTGATGGTATTCTTCTTGCCTCATTAGCTGTAGCTTGCAGTTGCACCATTTGCACCCCATAAAAGAAAAAACGTCACTGCGCAAACACAACGTGCGTCGTTTCAGCAATCCCTCCTAATGCCTTCCTTCCACACTGCTTCACTGGATATGAACTTACAAAAATTGATTTGTTGATTATGGAATTTGTATTTGGCAGATAATTCCCTTTCCTCTACGGCCTCTTAATCCACTCGCTGCACCAACAAATGGAACCGTGGGCTGCGTTCCAAATCGCACAAACAAGGAAACCCCTTTGACGACGCTATTAAAGACTATTATGACTAACAAGTGTAGGCTGGGAGGATTACAGTGCACAGGAGATTGGGCCAAAAGGCTGGGAATATCCACATAATGACGCTCACACACCCCATATTTGACACACAAAACACTATTTAGCCCTGCGTCTTACTTGGTGGGCTGGTTTAGGAAGGAATCTTTGTGAAGTCGGTAGGCGATGTAGCTATTGAAGGAACCCGGCTCCATGGACACGCCATTCATTCCAGCGAAAGTACGGTCTGTGATGTTGAAAGCCTCCAGCATCCTGAAGCCTGAAAGGAGATAAAACAGACGCAGGAGAGGTGAGTATGGACGCAGCGGAAGCAAAGAAAACACGTGGACAATTGTAGAGCGACTGCACAATGGCGGCGAGATTTAGAAGGGATTTGTAATAGTTCTGTTTGAAGACAATGATGTGTGCTTACCAGGTGTGGTGAAGCCATTGATGTAAATCAGAGGACAAGCTGCAACAGGAAAGGAAATCTTAGATGCTTTACAAACATTTGTGAAGAGTGATTCAACAAGCTACAAGCTATGAAGGCATGTCTCCAGTTTGTAATAACATGAACTGTGTGGAAATATAACACGTGTTTTCAAACATACAGTTTTTCAAATTGTTAGAAGACTGAAAGACAAGCACAGGTTAGACCCGCCCTTGCTCACCCCTAGAGCTACATGATTGGTTGAAATTGATTAAAATCCTTGAGGCCCTTTCCCATTGGTTTAATGATTCTCCTCCAGCAAATATTACTGGCTGTAGTTAAGTGGAGAGAACATTTAAAATATAGTATATAACTGCTGAAAAATACTTATTGTTCATAATTGTACAGTGCCCCATGGTCCTAAATATATGTTATTTTGAATATGAAAAACAATTGAACTTTCTGACATCACCTTTAAGTGTGTACAACAGCACTAGACTTGAATTTGTAAAGATTCTAAAGTGTCTTTTGTATTCATGTATTGTGTTACCTTTGTGAATCAACTTTTATATGATACTTCATTTACGTGCGTTGTCCCAATAAAATACAAACAATAAATAAAGAAACTGAAACATAGGTCTTACTGGATGTGGCTGTTTCGCAGATGAAGGTGATGAGATTATCCTGGATTTTGGCGAACGCATCGTAGTCATCGACCACAAACACATGACGTTCGCTCGGTTTGCTGCCGATAAGTCTCAATTCTGAAGTGTCCACGTCGGCCACGCCCACCACAAAAACGCTGTAGCCTGGAACAGTCCCAACAGCAAGGCTATCATTAGCTTGAGTAGCTTTTTAAAACTTCAAAACGTCACTCTTTCTCTCTCACATACCGGCGTGCTGCAGTTTCTCGGCGCTCTTCTTGACGTCGTCTTGAGATCTTCCATCTGTGACCACCACCAGCACCTTAGGCACATTTCTCCTCATGCCACTGTCAGAGGTGAAGACCTTTTCATAGACGTGCTTCAGGGCAATACCTGGAGAAAATTGAGGAGGGGTCATTCCAAATTTAATGACGATCATTAAAAGAAGAAATAGTATGCATTCTTTTGGTCATTGCACAGTATGACAAGACTATTTATATTGTCACTTCATGTTTTAAAATATGAAGCAATAACTTAACAGGACAAAATATATGAGGGTAAAGGGTAACTGATTGGCGTGCCCTATCCCTACCGGCTGCCAAACTAATTTATGGGCAATACTTTTTGGTTTTTAAGGTAGTAAATAGTCACAGTGGTACAATGACATCACACTATTACAGGAGTGAGACAGGAACCTTTAGAGAGAAGGGGCGGAGTTACATGTTTGTGGCAGAAGTTCCTGATATTTTAGCGTGGACTCCACTGTAGTAGCTTCTTTTTGTTCCAGCTTCTTCCCTCTGACAGAAGATATCGTTTGCAGAGATGCAACTCCTTTTCCTAACAGCTCTTTCAAAAAGCTGTTTTCAGTTCAAACAAAGCACTTTAAATGATCTTGCACTTGTACTGAAACTGGGCAGCACGGTGGCTGAGTAGATAGCACTTTCGCTTCTCAGCAAAGGGGGTGCTGGGTTTGGATCCCAGTCGGAACAGGACCTTTCTGAGTGGAGTTTGCATGTTCTCCACATATCTGCGTAGGTTTCCTCCGGGTGCTCCCGTTTCCCCTACCACTAAAAACATGTACAATAGGTCTGGCATGCGCTTCTGTGTGGAGTGAGGGACAAATGCCCAAAAATTAACAATTGTAAAGTGCTTTGTGACTCTGGTCTGAGAAAGGCGCTATATTGATAAAGTTTACTTACTTAAACTGTTTTAGTTTGATCGATTTCAGTGACAAATGTTTCCTGTTGTGTTGGTTTTATTCTGTACTTTTAACCTTAACTTGTCTTGTGCACACTAGGGACTTGTGAAAATGTGTTATAATGTGGTTTTACTGCAAACGGCAAATAAATGAATCTGAATCTGTACCATGCTCATAAGCTCCAAAAAGTTGATTTGCATAATACGTCTCCTTTAAATGAAACTTTTTTGACTTATAAACAGTGACTGACCAGTTTTGGTGTTTCCTCCCCTGTAGCGCACATTCTGCAGGGCTGACAGCACAACACCTTTATCATGATAGGTGTTGAGTTTGAACTCGGTCTTGGCATCGTCGCTGAACTGCACGAAAGAAACCTGTGAAAGACAAGCACAGATCAAAGCCTTGTTCAAATTGTTTTTTCATTAAAGAGGTAAAAGGCATTCCACAATAATATCTGGGTGTCTGTGTCTGCTGACCTGCATGCCCTTAGGACTGATCTGCTCAAACGCTCCTGTCATGCTCGTGACAAACTGGATCACTTTAGCGAAGCTTTCATCTCCAATACTCCAGGAGCCATCGATGAGGAACACCACGTCCGCCTTAGCGCCTTTGCAAACTGCGAGATTTAAAAACAGTAATTAGTCCCTATAGTTCTTTCTTTTTTGAAATACGTATTTATTTGCTACTGGACACCTGGATTTCTTCTACGGGGATAAGTATCTACAATATCTGGTCCTTAAAGCTGAAGACATATATATTTATTTACACTAATTTTCACATCACCACGGAAATATCTAATACATTTGGTGCATATCTATCATTGCAATTACAATTTTCCAACTGCCAAGATCTCTCTGAATACTGATGCAATTACATACTGGGGTTCTGTCTTATAGCTTTTGTACCTGTTATTTTTTTCATACAAATGTGTGATGCTTTTTTCGTTTTTTGTGAGTCAATAAATGCAAAAATTACCCTCACAAACTGGCAACCCAAATGAGAGCCTCACCCTGCTCTCTGATTGGCTAATCTGCTTAAAACTTAAGTATTATTATGTGTTCTCCTCGTCCCCACTGTTCTGTAACCTACGATGCAACACTGGCTTGCTTTCTCAATCTTAATCCACTGATGCCTTACCATCCAGAGCAGGTGGAACAGTAGCGGGCGTGGGAGGAGGAGGCGGTTCTGTGGGTATCTCCGTTGGCTTGACCACTACACGACACACACACACACACACACATAAACACACAGAGGGTTGAGCATACGCCGTAGAACCAAAAGAAGAGCTAAGAAGAGCTATAACAATCCTCTCACATGTCCTCTCTTTGACGCTAACCCCAGGACCCTCCAGGTTTGGGGTCTGTACGTAAACTGTGGCATTGTACAGCGTGTCCGGAGTCAGGCCGTCGAAGCAGTGAGTGGTCTCCGAGCCTCTGACTGTGATCTCCTGAGCCCCGGATTTGGAAGCTAAGATAAGATAAGATAGACTTTATGGCTCTCACACTGGAGAAATTTACACGTCACATTTGGCATAGATAGAACTCAGATTAGTGCAAAAGACAGAAGTGTGCAACATGTTAAAGGTTAAAGATATAGTCTGTGCAGGATATAATTATGTACAATGGTAACAGGTAGAAGAGAGAAACACCCACACACACACACACACAATAAATAACATGCTACATTGATTTATTTGACTTTTTTCAAGCGAACTCACGGTCAAACGGGTTCACTTTAAGCCTGTACGAGGTAGCAGCGCGGTGAGGAGCCCAGCGGAGACAGAAGGAGTCGTAGCCAACATTGTAGGTGGTCAGGTCAGTAACATTCAGGTACACTACAAAGAATAACACCATTGGTTTATTTATTATTATGTTCTCTGGCCGTGGACTTTTTAAACAGCCTCGCTCGTATGACTCTGCTTACACGTCGTGCCTGGTCCCACCAGAGGCTCGCTGACGCCTGTGCTGTACTGTGCCAGCACTTTGAGGTCATAAGTGGTGCCCGGTTTAAGGTTGTGCAGTTGGTGGGTTGTCACGTCTCCAACAAAAACCTCCTGCGACTCATCAGAGCCTAAGGGAAGATTCGTACCTTTGATAATTGCGGGTTGGGTAAAATAATTAAGTTTGAAACAACAAAAGATGTCTTACCCTCAGGCGAGTAGATAAGTTTGTATCCTGTCACTCTGGAGGGAGCAGGGTCCCAGGACACTCTAAACCGTGTGTACCACTCATCAGACACACGCAGGTTCCTTGGGCCGAGCATGCCCACTGAGAACAGAAAGATAGTTCAAGAACAAGAAGTGGATAGCTTTACTTTCAACATGATCCAAGATGTGAGCTGTCACCACCGCGTTTAACGTATTAAAACACATTACTGTTAATAGCCTCTGAACTATGGGCGGGATGATTAATTCAACCACATCAGAGAAAACAGAAACCCAAATATCCAACTAGCTTGAGGAGTGGAAAGGTATTACACATGAAAGACAATATTAGTCAAAATCCCGTCAAGAACTGCAAGCACACAGTCCTCCTTACTGGGCTATAGCCAGATCCTAATTCTTTGGAAGAAGTTACTGCTGCCTTCTGGCTCTGTGGAATTTGACTTCTTCCATTTTTGCAAGAGCAGTTCAGGGCCTTAATCAGTGTGTGTCTCAGTGTACTAAAAACAATGTGAAAAAGCCGAGACAAAGGAACCGTATGCACCTGTGCGGCCGTCTCCCTCCAGCTCCCCTCCGGGCCCATCACCGTAGATAGCAGTCACTTTGATGCTGTAAGGAGTGTCAGAATCCAAGTTCTGGAGCACAACATTGTTCCTGTTCCCTGGTACGGTAGTCTGCGATTGAAATGAGAGGTTAGGCTCACATTGATGCAGTAATGTGGTACGAATGATTGGATAAAGATTTCTTATGAGTGGACATACAAACTCCTCAATAGGGTCCCCTGTTTTCTGGGCGTAGGTGATGCGGTACTGCATGACGGGGCCCTGAGCGTGTTCCCAGGACACAGAGAGAGTGCTGGTGGTCGGATCGAACACTTGCAGATTTCTGGGGCCGCTTCGAGGAACTAGTTTGGGAAAGATTGTTGGATTATAGCAGCATTTTGTGAAGATACTGAGACTGCTCTTGTCAAGGTTACAAACGATATCCGGCTGAACACTGACGCAGGCAAAGTCTCAATCTTAATCTTGTTAGATCTGAGTGCTGCCTTTGACACCGTCGACCATGAGATCCTCTTACAGAGACTAGAGGACTGGGTTGGAGTCGCTGGCACCGCCCTAAGTTGGTTTAGGTCTTACCTTGAAGACAGGAAGTACTTTGTGGAGATTGGAGACTGTGTCTCAGATCATATGGCCCTGACCTGTGGAGTACCACAGGGGTCGATCCTGGGACCTCTTCTGTTCAATCTCTACATGCTGCCGTTAGGTCAGTTAATACGCAGAAACGAAGTGTCCTATCATAACTATGCAGACGACACTCAGATCTATGTCTCACTGACTGCAGGAGAACATGGACCAGTGGACTCACTCCTTCACTGTATCCAACAGATCAGTGAGTGGATGCAAGACAACTTCCTTCAGCTAAACGCAGACAAAACTGAAATGATTGTCTTTGGTCCCCAGAAACAAAGAGAGAGCGTCATCTGTCACCTACAGTCTCTCTCCCTAAAACCTTCAAACAAGGTCAGAAATCTAGGGGTAATACTGGACTCAGACTGAAATTTTAATAGCCACATCAAATCAGTAACATCAGCAGCTTTTTTACCATCTAAAAAACATTGCCAGGATCAAAAACATAGTGTCTAAAGCAGACCTGGAGATTCTTATCCATGCATTTGTCTCCAGTAGGTTAGACTACTGCAATGGCCTGCTCACAGGTCTGTCCAAACAGGCTGTAAAACAGCTGCAGTACATTCAAAATGCAGCAGCTCGAGTCCTGACTAGAACCAGGAAGTACGACCACATTAGTCCAGTTCTCAGGTCTCTGCACTGGCTTCCTGTGGCTCAGAGAATAGACTTTAAAACAGCTCTGCTTGTGTACAAATCTCTCCATGGCCTCGCACCAAACTATATTAGTGACATGTTAGTCCCATATGAACCAGCCCGGACTCTGAGGAGCACAGGGACTGGACTCCTGTTAGTGCCCAGAGTCAGAACTAAACATGGGGAGGCTGCTTTTCAGATTCATGCTGCTAAAATCTGGAACAGTCTTCCTGAAGATGTGAGACAGGCCTCCTCTCTGACAATGTTTAAAACCAGGTTAAAGACGGTTCTGTTTAGCTGTGCATACAACTGAGGGATTTTATATTTTTATCTTTTTTTTTTAATGTACTGTGATTATTTATGATTTTAATGCTTTCTTGTTCTGTTCAGCACTTTGAATTGCCTTGTGTATGAATTGTGCTATACAAATAAACTTGCCTTGCCTTGCCTTGCCTTGCCAAGATAACAAAAAATACATGTGTCATATTTTATTGGTATAACACTAGAGCTGTGCCATTAATGGACAGATTGAAAAAAAATCTAAAGTTTTGAAGATTTTGGATGAAAAATGTAATGAGTGAGATTTGACTTCACTAAGGTGCACTCACCTTGAACTCTGATTGGCTGAAATGTTATGCACAATTTAATATTTTATGCGGGGAAAAAAGTGATTTATGGCATACAAGTGAGAAAAGCGAAGCATAAATCAAGATTGGTTTAATGTGTCAATTATTATTTTTCATTATTTCCCAGATGAGCCAGTTAGATGATGTGTGTGGCTTTTCAGGGTGTGCTTCTTGTTTCTATGGAGATATGTATTTTCCTGTAATGTTCCAGTGAATGGTATTTGAGGAGGCAGATTTGTTTTGTTTTTAAACTAATCTTCTTGAAAACAATCAGACGAAGCAGAGACGTTATCAAGGCAGTGATTGAGAATCATAAATTCCAGAATATCTTCTCAAACACACCCTTTTTTCTTAGAGATTCTTAGAGAGTCACTAACTTTTCAACCCCATAAATACTACAGCTTGTTAGTGCATACCAGAGGAGTCTCCATCTTAATGGAAAACATCTTATCTGTTCCATACTTGTAGGAAAGGGCCTACAAGAGTCACTATTTGACTTATACTGGCTGATAGAAGATTGGCTGAGCAACGATGCAGAGCAGGATACAACACATATGAGTATGGGTGGTTGCTCTATTTTTCCCTGATCTAAAGACATGACAGCTGAGATACAACTGACTGTTTTGAAAGCAAGGAAGTAGTTGGATGGATTTTATCACAAAGTTAAATTTTTGTGTAGTTTGAAAGTTAGGTATCGCAGCTTTAAACTAAAAATAAAATAGCATGTTGCTCGGTTAATCCTTACGTGTCTTCCCCTCATCGCTGACGGCCGGCCCTTCTCCATCCGCGTAAAGGGCCACTACTCCCACATTGTAGCCTGTGTCTGGGACCAGCTGCTGCAGCAGGGTGGTGGTGGTGGTGCCTGGTACTACGACCTGCACATAAACACAGGACAAACAATCAAACTGCGCACTAATCTGACCGGCTTGAAGCGATTACCACCTCGTTTCGACTTAATATCCCGTGTTGTAGAAAGTGTGAAGTTTGACAATTGGAACAGCTGGGCCGGCCAACATACGTAACAATAAAACAGAACATTACAACTGAATCTAACGAGTTTGTTCAGGCTGCAATGCACATTACTTTAACTGGGTATAACCTTTAACTTAAGTGTGTAAATTATGTTGGTTTACTGAAATGAAAAGTGTGAAAAACAATCAAACACTGCCGTCAAACAAATGGGGAGAGCGCCGTAAATGTAACGCTTCCAACAGCACGTGTTAGAGCCATCCATAGGCTTTACGCAGCTTCCTAGGGTTTTCCACACTGTCACATATGGGTGTACTAAAAAAGTATAAATATTCTTACATTAAATTAGACAATATCAATTTATGTTTAATCCAATCTTGAAAAAAAAAAAATCTACACTTTATAATTATTTTTTTGGTATATAATTTGACGTCCATAGCAAATATACGTCAAAAAATATCATATAAATGAATAGTAATATATTTGGCGCAAGATTACTGGAAAAACTGGCATCATTTAGCAATACAGTAAATTGTCTCATATTGAATTGAATGTGTCCTATATGTTTATGTATCGTATCGTGACATAAATATCCAGATATGTATTGTATATCGCCAAGCTCTGAAAGATATCCAGCTCCAGTCACAAAGACAATTTTAATGTGTGTGTTTTCTGTAAAGAAGAATATATTTTCAAATGGATTGATTGTCTTCTGCTATTACTTACTACTATTGCTCCTGCTGCTGCTGCTGTTCAACGACTTATTACAGAGAAGTACAGTAACATGAGGTGCATTTTCAAGATGAATCATTTGGACTTACGGACTCAGCTGGTCTGGCTCCGTTCACAGGGGAGTAGACCACCCTGTACTGCTGCACGGGGCCAGTGGCCGCCTCCCAGCGCACGTTCAGAGTGTTGGTGGTTGGGTTGAAGACTTCGATGTTCCTGACTGGGCCACGTGCCACTGCGGGAAACACACAAGAGAACAGTGCAAGATTAGAGCTAAGGTGGAAAAAGTTTTAGAAATCCCCCCGCCATTAAAAACAAAATAACTGCTGACTATTATTTCATTTCATATATTTTTGTTGCTTTTATTTAAAGTAAATCAACTAAAAGTAATGGCAAGTTTGGATTTTTTTTAAACCGAAATAATTTTTGGGGGATTTTTCACTGCATGTTATAAATATTTATCACAGATTGAAGTTAATTGATAATTAACTCTAACAAATATTGTTTGATAGATTCAAAATGTGATAATCTAATTAACCGTAATATCTTACCAGCCACAAATAGACAAAAAAAATACTGGGTGGTTTTAATCTTAATTTCTTGTGTGATTTTAGAGCATTGGTGTTTGAGCCAATGCTCACAAACCCACGAGCCATCACAGACACTTAACCCCACTTTGCCTGAAGCTCCCGTTGAAAGATCAAGGCTATGCTAACTCTTACAGAGCAGCCATCCTTCTGTGGACTCACCCCCTGCGGGAGGATCGGTGAGGGGCTGTGCTCTGTGTAGTGGGTGTAGCTCTGACTTACCAACTGTAAAGTTCTCAATTGTGAGATGAATAAAATGGATCTTATCTTGCCACTTTTTGCCCAGCCATACGACGAATACATTTTTTTTTCTCACACTGTAAAGCCAAGACTAAGGCACTCTAGAAGATCCTAGCAGTGGATAATGAGATAGTTTCGGTAACAAAAGAGCTCAGCATGAAGCACAGACACGTTTAAGACAGCTTTAACAATAACCAACAGGACACTTCCTCCCTGCGCAATAAAGCTTCATGAAAGTGCGGGGTACTTCTGAAAAGCAGATGTTTTAAAGCCTTTTCTAAAACTTCTTATAACCTCGTAACTTCTGGGAACATCACAATCAAAAAAAGCAAGGACACCAAAATTTCAAAAACGATTTTGGCATCAAAGATATACAGTATGCACATGTTTAGATTAGGCATGAGTTATCAATAATGAGGTTACGTAAGGAAAGATTCGTCACAAAGGGAAAACAGAGGTAGCAAGAGCAACCGTGCTTGTGACCTTGGGCTGGTAAGTTGAGAGCTATTAAACACATAATGCTCTATTCATTTCTAAGCCCCTCCAAGCACCGTGGCTCTTTTTCCTCAAAGGAAAGCCAATTACTCCCTCCACCCCTTTCCCCCAGCCCCATCATTATTCTAACCACCAGCCTCCATTCCAGCCTATAAATGGACAATATTACAGTAAAGACAGAGAAGACACCATTATAACGTTGCAAGGCTGATGAAATTCCTTCCTACACAATCACCCCACAAAATGCTGATTCATTCCATGCAGTGGCTGGTGGTTTGCATTGGTGGAGGAAGAGGGATTATCCAACGTTGCAGATTCGAAAGGTCAAGAAAAGAGAAAAGTTGGCACACCGTAGGCTTGAATGAGTGTACGTAAATGTCATCGTGAACCCATGGAGAAATAGTTGACCAACTTGTAATCTCCTGGCGTTTTCATGTGGGTCTCATAGGTCATAAAAGTTGTAGAAATTAGCTTTAGCTGGCTGCCACAGTAAATTGTGATCGCATTGGGCTACACCGCACCCGGAATGAAGTTCAGAAAGTTCAGTCAAAATGCTTGATATTTTTATAACTTCTTACACAAGTCACAAGTGCGAATGAAGCACATTGGGAATGGGATTGATTGTGTGAACCTGTACCTATTACTCTCTAGTCTAGACTAGTAAGTCATTATTATATGTTACTATTTATACAGCGCCTTTCACAGATCACAAAGCGCTTTATAATTGTGGGCATTTGTCTCCCACTCCACACAGAGAGCGGGGTCGCATGCCAGACCTATTTTACATGTTTTTAGTGGTGGGGGAAACCGGAGCACCTGGAGGAAAACTACGCAGCCACGGTAAGAACACAGAACCCAGGACATTCTTGCAGCAAAGCCAGAGTGCTATATACTCAGCCACCGTGCCGCCCAGTATGTTATTTGCCTGTGCTTACATGTTTTGCCGTTATCAGACATGCGCTGGCCCTCTCCGGCGGTGTAGACCGGAACCACCGTCACTCTGTAGTTTGTATCTTGCTGCAGGTTTTTCAAGACAGTGTTGTATGTGCTGCCAGAAACCTGAACCTGCAGACAAAGATAGAAAAGTGTATTACTGGATAGATAGATAGATAGACAGTGCTGACCCGCCGATAAATGCAAAAGTACTCACAAATGAAATTTAGCACCAGCTCGCTCTGACTCTGACAGTGAAGTCAAGTAACCGTTCTTGTCACACTTGCAATTTTGGGATTAAATATCTGCCGTTTAGCACTCTTTGTGATCCTGGCATTTCTAGTTCAATATTGTCTTTGGAAATCCAGATATGAGCCATAATCATTGACCAATCAGATGCAGTCTTTCGCCGGGGGTTACTCCATCTTGCCTGAGCAACCATGTTTAGTCAGTTCATAGTTTAAAGAAGTGTATAAATAGTTTTTCTGGCGTATGTGAGAGGAGCCTCTGTCTGAACTGCTCCAATACAGACAGATCAGAGCTGGATTGGAAAGATTCATGGCTCTACACAAGATGGCTGGTTTTTTCAAATTGTTTTTTTCACATTTGTTAGCCCAAAGTCACCCTTCTTTTTCTACAGTCTATGGATATACAACACCAACACTACTTATGATCTCATTACGTTGCATACCATTTCCTCCTCTCCTCCAGCTACAGGGACATAGAAGATTTTGTACTGGCGAACTGGGCCCTCCGCCGCCTCCCACAGGACATTCAGAGTGCTGGTGGTGGGATCGGTGACGCGAAGGTTTCTAACTCCACCCAACGGTTCTGCAATATGAGAACACGTGTATAGTCCAATATAATCACAAGTGGATAAATGGTATTATTGTGTGTTGGGAGCACTTACTGGTCTTGCCGAGGCCATTGAGTTCTCCGCTGACTCCTTTGGCATAGACGGCGACCACACTGATGGAGTACTCTGTGTCAGGGGTGAGCTTGGGGAGCAGCACGGTAGTCTTCTTTCCACCGACTTGGGTCTAGTTAAAAAGAGAGAATTTGAAAATAAACTTTTCAAGCTGACCAGATGGAGATGAATAGTTGTAACATCCTTTATGTGCTTATGAAAAGAAAGTTGAAGCATGAGATGAAACCTAAAATGCTTTGCTGTCAGCGTGTCTTCTGAGTGTTGTTTTGAGGGACTCAGAACAAATTAGCTGGTGCACTGGCCTGAGTAAACACACAGTTGGATGGTTGGAGCAGTTGGATGGTTGTCATAACAGTCATGACAGTGGATGGATTTACTACAATACTTTTGGTTTAAGCAAAGAGCAGGGGCATAATTGAAAGAGGCTTGTGCTTAACATTCACAAGCTTGAGTGCTGACATCCGCTTGATCCTCACTCACAGCCTTTGAACGTTATTCAGGCCAAAAAGATCAATAACACAAAGCAGCACTTGTACACAACATGTGAACTGGCAATATAAAAAACATTTGTCAACACAGGCCTGTGTTAAAGCTGGGGTGCATAACTTTCATACCACAGAAAAATGAACTGTGTAATAAAATCCATCTAATCCAACTAGTTTCTCGCTCTGGTTTCAGAGCAAGAAACTAGTTGGATTAGATGCTTTGGTTCTTTCACTGGTTTTCACACACATGTATTTGTGACCTTGGTCACATCTTTAGAGGAAACAGGGAGGACCTCCCTCAATTCGCCGATAAGTTCACGTCTGATGTGTTTTACTTTTACAACTGCTTCTGTGATGTGTTAATAGGGTAATTATGAAAAATATGCTAATAGAGTTAGAAATTATGTTTTAGCAACTATATGTATGTTATATCGGTAAATAATGTATAATAAACAATTAGACTGTAAAATAAAGCCCTCATTTGTGTAACAGAATAAGACATGTCCTTGAATGGCCTATTGTAACATGACAATGGTTGGAGTCCATAAATGTTAAGAAAAAAGCCAATGGCTGCAGCGCAGTATCCAAGTCACGTCTGCGTTCCGTCCCAGTGACAATCTGCTTGATAATAAATGGCATGTTGCTCTTTCATTACACATATAAGCAAGCATGCAAATTCCTCTCTGTGGAAAAGTCTTAAGATCACAACTGTGCCTGACAGCTCAGTCACTGTCACAGGCCAGCATCAACCTAATAGTGTCTTTGGCTGCACTCGCAGAGATTACTCTGTCAATGGGTTTGTGGAAACAGCAGTCTATATCAATGTCTGTTTGTGAAAGCAATAGGTCAGATGCTAATGAAAACCAAACGTTATTCATGATTAAGCCAAATTGCACAACAAGCTGTGGAAACAATGAAAAGTTTTAGTAAACTGCATAAAAATAGATGAATCTAAAAGCTAAACATGTTAAAGCTGCTAGAGTGTAAATGTGAACGATTGTTATTGATTTAATTGAAAGGTGTTTTTGAAACGTACTGTCTGACTGCGGCCTCCTGCTGTGGGGACAAAGGTGATCCTGTAGTTCTGCACGCGGCCTGGAGCGGCGTTCCAGCGGGCGTTCAGGCTCGTGGTGGTCTCATTGAACACAACTAAGTTTGTCGGTGGTGCATTTGGAGCTGGAAATGCACAAAACATGGAACAAGAAATTAAAACCCATTCTACAGTGCTGATAAATGCATGGACAAACAAATTATGAAGCATTCACACTTTAAAGACAGGGTCCGTGATAAATGTAGTTAAAATGTCCTATTGGATACATTTGTGCCACAATTTAGGATTTATCAGGGACAGCAGCTTTAAAGCGTCATAGAAAAGACAATTCTTCAATTGGTCTTTTCTAAGATGAAGTGATGATGAATGAATATTAGATGATAACAGATGATGATGACAGGACTATGAAGATGATTATGATGATGATGAGGATGATGAGGATGGATTGATGACAAAAAAGCTTTACGTTTTGGATTCATTTGATCATTGAGCAAAACATGCATGAATGAATTCCAACTTCAGCCATTTAAGTTGACAAAACATATTTACAAATAGCTTTGCAATAAATGACATGGGGATGAACACACAGGCTCGGACACTGTCGGTCGGACACAGAACCACAGAGTGGCTGCTCTGATGATGACATGATGGTTATCCAACACAGTATCATGACAAGGCAAAACATGAAAACATGCTTCCATTTACGATTCAAGATCTCTTGCTGTAAACACATACTTACATGGAACTGCGCCTCTGCGCACTAAAAATAGAAATATAAAATACATAACATTTGAAAAGAGAAATATCATTGGTTCAGCCTTTGGCAAAGATCCTATGTGAATATTCTCGTGCATTGATCAAAACATCAAACATAGTCAGGTAAACAAAAGGCTCACATGTTCTTTCAGTGCCCAGCAGGTCCTCGCTCTCAGACTCATCAGGGTAGATGGCCGTCACCGACACGTCGTACGGAGTGTCGGGCTCCAGGTTCTCCAGCACATGAGTGGTTTCATCATTGTTAAGAATGGCCTGCAGAGAACACAATGTTACACTTATATCGTCTGTGTAGTGTGTAGAGTGTGGTGTGAAGTGTGTAGTGTGTAAGGTGTAGTGTAGTAGTGTGTAGTGTGTAAGGTGTAGTGTAGTAGAGTGTAGAGTGTGGTGTGTAGTGTGTAGAGTGTGGTGTGTAGTGTGTAGAGTGTGGTGTGTAGTGTGTGTAGAGTGTGGTGTGTAGTGTGTGTAGAGTGTGGTGTGTAGTGTGTAGAGTGTGGTGTGTAGTGTGTGTAGAGTGTGGTGTGTAGTGTGTAGAGTGTGAAGAGTGTGGTGTGTAGAGTGTGAAGAGTGTGGTGTGTAGAGTGTGTAGAGTGTGGTGTGTAGAGTGTGTAGAGTGTGGTGTGTAGAGTGTGTAGAGTGTGGTGTGTAGAGTGTGTAGAGTGTGGTGTGTAGTGTGTAGAGTGTGGTGTGTAGAGTGTAGTGTGTAGAGTGTAGTGTGTAGTGTGTAGAGTGTGGTGTGTAGTGTGTAGAGTGTGGTGTGTAGTGTGTAGAGTGTGGTGTGTAGAGTGTAGTGTGTAGAGTGTGGTGTGTAGTGTGTAGAGTGTGGTGTGTAGTGTGTGAAGAGTGTGGTGTGTAGAGTGTGGTATGTAGTGTGTAGTGTGTAGAGTGTGGTGTGTAGTGTGTAGAGTGTGGTGTGTAGTGTGTGTAGAGTGTGGTGTGTAGTGTGTAGAGTGTGGTGTGTAGAGTGTAGAGTGTGGTGTGTAGTGTGTGTAGAGTGTGGTGTGTAGAGTGTGGTATGTAGTGTGTAGTGTGTAGAGTGTGGTGTGTAGAGTGTGGTGTGTAGTGTGTAGTGTGTAGAGTGTGGTGTGTAGAGTGTGGTGTGTGGTGTGTAGTGTGTAGAGTGTGTAGAGTGTGGTGTGTAGTGTGTAGTGTAGTAGTGAAGCACCATGCTGTGAAAATACCATTAGTTAGACATGAGTTACATGCACCGTGGCGTGTGGCGTCCAATACTCTCCCGGTTATGTAGAAAAGTAAGTCACATTGTAGAGAAGTGGTGCATTTTATTATATGTTATAAGTCATTCCTTTTTCAAAGTAGCTCTCCCAACACTGTATCATAAACAAACATACATCAATGAAATAACAGTCCCTTACATATTGGTTGTTGGTGTCTCCCTTCTTCACCCATCCAATCCGATACAGAGCAACGTCTGGGGCCCCGTGCTCCCAGTGTGCCCGGAAGCTCGTCTGGGTAACTTCTGAGAAACGCAGGTTCTTTGGCGCAGGAACAGGTTCTAAAAGTTCAAATAAATACCAAAAATGATTAAAGCCGCAAGCGGCATCTAACGGCCCTCGCCGCACCGCGCAACCGAGGTGGCGCTGACGCGCCATTTTCCTACCCCCCTGATGGGAGCGACACTGTGGATTTTGATTGCCTATGATCAGTGATTGTGTGTGTCTTTGAAAAGGTAAACCTCATTCTCCCCATGTAATACTTGACTCAGTCTGTAGGGGGCGCTATTGTTGCAATATCATGATTCACACCTTCAGTTTACCCAAATCCGAGAGCTGAACAATCAATTCAAATTTTGTGCAAATCGGACTTTGTATGTGCAAATGGTGGCATTTATGTTGTAAAATAGCGCCCCCTACATTTTAAATTTTGTAGTGTTATACCAAAGAACACCAAAATAATACACTTTATGCCTGAAAAAAACTTGTGGCAAAGTTTGGTGAGTTTTCGTGCATGTTCAGTGGGTGAAATATGAGATCAAACAATAGAAAACCTAAACACCTTTATTCCCAGGTAAACCTTTACTCAGCCTGTAGGGGGCGCTAATCGGCAAATGTCATTGTTCAAACTGTCATGTGACCTAGGCCCAGGAGTTGAACAACAGAGTCAAGTTTAGTGAATATCAGACTTTGTGAATGTGCTCCTGTTTGCACATACAATCTTTGAGTGTGTCTATACAGTCTCCATTGGGTAACATGAGAACTTCACACCTCTCTATGAAAATGACCACACTTTGGGAGTCTGTCACTCTCAGACCGTTTGACTAATTAAAACTCTATATGCAACTATTGATGGTCCATGTGTGGAGACCATGTGGAGCAATTTTCAGACAAATTAGGGAAACGGCCGCGGCTGGTTTGATGTTTGAGCGAGGTGTACTTTTCAGAGATTTAACGATTTTCTCATAGACACAGACAGGGGAGTGTTGGTCGTCGCCACGGCAACAGGGTAAAAAATAATCATATGTTGTCATTGACTTTTTGAATCCAGATGACAAAACAGAATTATGTGCAAAATTTCAAACATTTTGAAAAAACTAAATTTTATTAGGCCCATGTAAAACTTTGACATAGTCTGTAGGGGGCGCTAATGAGTCAATTTCAATATTTCAACTTTCAAATGACCTAGACCCTGGAGCTGAACAATGGATTACATTTTTGTGCAAATCTGACTATTTTTGTGCAAATGGGAGCAAATTTACTTTTGTCAAAAATCCCCAAAATAATGTCACATTTTGCCGCTCCGCTGCTCGGACAACGTTTAATTGATCCAAATTCTATATTCAATAATAGATGGGACATGGGTTTAGACCATGTGGAGCGATTTTGAGACAAATCGGTGAAACGGCCGAGGAGGAGATAATTTCCAGCCGACATGTGTGAAAAAGATCAATTTTCATTTTTCCATTTTCCAATTAAATTAATGAGCTTCCTGTTTGTCAAGGGGCGGAGCCATAATAACTTTTTTTTCATGTCTTGACCTGAGGAACATGTGTACCGAATTTCGTGGCTCTACGACAAACTTGACCTTCGACCCCCTCCCATAGGCGCAATGTAAACTGACTTTTGTAGGGGGCGCTATTCTGACATTTTTTTAGTCCCTTAAAAATAAACACCAAAAAAATTAATTTTTCACCGGTTCTGAATTTTGGGCAAAATTTCACAACTTTTCATCAATGTTCAGGGGGTCAAATTAAGGTTCAAAGTGCAGAAGAAAAAAGAAAGAAAGAAAGAAATAATAAATAAATAAACCAAGGAATTTTTTTTTTTAAACTTCGAGCAAAAACAATATAGGTTTCCATAGTAACCTATAATACAAATGATACGTCGTTTTAAAGCAAACGACCAGACGAACGCAACTATTGGGTTCTCGGTAATTGACGAGCGCTGACGCGCTCGTCAATCACCTCGCCATCATGAGGTCACCCACCCCCCCCATAGGACCCCATTGATTACACTGTGTACTACAGCAGGAGCAAAGCCATTCAGTGCCTCCGGCACTGTTTTGTCAGTGTCTGGGCACGCGCCGTCGGGCTTGGGGGACGAATGTCCGGGCTTCGCCCGGACATTCGTCCGTAAAACAGTTGAAGGAACCCCCCATTAATAGGACTTCAATCATTTCACTGTGTACTACAGCAGGAACAAAGCCATTCCGTGCCTCCGGCACGGATTTATCAGTGCTTGGGCACGTGCCGTCGCGTGCAGGTCACAATCTCCGGGCTGCGCCCGGAGATTGTGACTTAAAACAGTTCAACGAGTAATGCCTGGGCTTCGCCCAGGCATTACTCGTTGGAAAAGCAATAGGCCCTTACCCCGGTTGGGGCTCGGGCCTAAATATGAATTTGTTGGCTCTTGTCTTTCTACTGTTATTGTCACGTTCTCACCTGTGATGCCGGTGCCTAACATTGGAGGACTCCTTCCCTCGTCATAAACTGGAGTCACAGCCAGAGAGTACTCGGTCTGGGACACCAGGTTTTCCAGGACTTTGGTGGTCAGACTTCCATCAACTTCAATCTAAAAGCAAAACACATCGCTCTCATTATTGCTGTCAGGACGCTTGGCAATGTGGAGTATTTGTTTAAAGCCAAAATGAAACAATGATTGAAATGTTTTGTTGAGTTTAGGTGTAGAGAAATCAAAATCACATGTGACTATAAAATTAAGATTGATAACACCTTATAAACAACGGAGTAATTCCAACCCTTCCTCTGCACACATTGTAAAATATCCATCAGCCAAAAGTTGTCATCCACTCTCAAGAACCAAAATCATTTCATCTGGAATTATCACTCAATTCAGATCATATCAAATAGCTAATATTATCACAATCATATATTTATGATAAAGATAAAGGTTAATTTGATCTATGGATACAATTAACAATTATTTTGATTTATTGATTTATTACTCAGAGATAATGGGATTTTTTAAACATTTGACCCAAACAAATCTCAAGAGATTTTCATGGAGATGACTGGTAACACCTCTTCTGAGAATGGTAGTGTGAGGAATGTCAAGTCTCAAAAAACAATGAATCAATTACTAGATGAGTTTCAATAATCGATTTGTTCAACCTAAACGTACTAATACTCAATCATTTTCTGTAGCACCAGGTCCACAGGAAGACACAGGTGTTTCAGCGGGGGCTTCAGGCAAAGTGGGGTTAAGTGTCTTGCCCACCAACACAACGACAGCAGACATCAATGGGAGCAGATGATATAGGTCGTGAGGGGGGGGGGGGGGGGGGGGGGGGAATCGAACCCATGCCCATTGGGTTCAAAGACCAATTTTTTACCAACTACCACGGACGTCATAATACCACAAAAGCTAAACATACTTCTTTGGGGTCTCCTTCTTCAGGCTGGTACATGACAATGTATTTGCGAACATTCCCAGGAGCGGCGTCCCAGATCAGCCGCATGCTGCTGTGGGTGATGTCCCGGACCTTCAGCTCCCCGGCAGGAGGCAGAGGCACTAGGGGGACAAAACACATATACTATACATGCACATTCCGCCATGGCAAATAAAACATCAAGATTTGTCTGTATTGATGAACCTACAGGTCACTCCCTGCTTGGTGAGAGGCTCGCTGGCCGCCTCCCCGTGCAGAGCGAACAGGGACAGGGTATAGGCTGTATTCGGCAGCAGGCGCTCCAGCTGGACATCCGTAGTCTCCCCTCCGACTCTCAGCTACAACGAGGAGAAAAGCGAGTGACATTTTTTGACACTCGCTTGAATAATCTCTCAATTTAAAGCTCACATCTGCTCGACTCGGCTTTGACACACTGGATTTCACACCTCATGAAGCAATGATGACATTCCCTGGACAGTGTGAGATCAGTGCTAACCCACTCCTTTGTGACTAACTTATTTCCCTTTTGCCTCCTCTGGTGAATAATGAGCCTCACACTGCTGCCTTTGTTACATTTTTCTGTTTTTGACGCATCTGGGCTTCATCAGCTGCTGTCACAACACTAAATTACATCCTCACTTCTGGTTTTTTAGGCCTTGTTTTCCTGTGATGTATGGCTTTAAAGCGATAAAATGATAGCGCTTACCTCCAGTTCTGTGGTGGGCCGTGTGGCGTTGATGGCACTGTAAAGCAGCATGTAACCGGTGGCTCCTTCAGCTCTCTCCCATCGCACTCTCATGGTTGTGGTCTGCTCGTTGTAAATATCCATGCTCCTCACAGCGGTTAGCGGCACTGAACAAGAAGGAGTCAAGCAAATTTGCATTATTCTTCCTCCATTGTTGAATCTAGCCTTCACAAAATGGACAAACACAAGACATCATAATCAAGTGATCAGGCCTCTTTCAGGTCATGGTGACTTGTTTGGACTTGGGAACACCTGTGGCTTGGTTTGTTGTGACGCATATTGTCAAATAACATGCTTATTACTGTCTTCATTCTGTCAAAAACTATTGGAAACTGAAATAAAGGCCCACATGCATTTCTGCTTAAGATCCTGCCTAAAGATCCTGCCTTTTGACACATTTCTTCGACATATAGACTTGAAATGCTGGAATCAGGAATATCATTTGGTTTTCTTTATACTACAATCCATGGATCTATAATTGAGAAGTGTAAAAAGTCTGCAAAAGAAGATCATGCCGGACAAAAGCACCTTCAAAAGAAGTTCGCAATGTCATCCAGCTGCTTTTGTCATCCACTAATATTCCGCAGATAACTTTAAATCTAAAAAGTGTTTATGGGGGGGAGGGTTTTGGGAGATTAGGTGATCTGCAGAACCACAAAAACCAAGATAGGATCCAATCAGACAGTTCCAAGTTGGAATCGTTAAATGATTGACAATGGGCTTCAGGGATATTTTTTGGGAGAGGGTCCAATACATTCGTAGACTCAAGGTTACATAAAGATTACACAAAAGTTTTCTTTTGCTTTAATTACTTCAAGGTCGGCCACTTGCTTTTGTGAAATCTGGATTATCTGAAATCTGGTTTCACAGTGCGGCAATACTCATCCATGAACTTTGCAGAAGTGACATAGTGCATGTTTAATGTATTAGAACGAGGGAAATCAAAGATGGCTTCTGTCCAAGTTCTATTTCATCAGAGCCGAAATGTCACATTCTCTGCTTTCTTCCATGTCCTGGTTCCTATGATTGCTGTATCTTTTTGTTTGGTCCTTGTTTTTGCTCGCTAGAGACTTTAGAAACAGTCTAACATGCCAAATGTATAACGAGGTTTGGATCTGACATTATATATGATCCTTTCCCCAAGCAAACATCCATATGAATTACAGTGTCCCACTTGCAAATGTCACACAACTTAGAACTTCAGAAAGTTGGCAAGTGTTTACATAGTTGATTTCAAAGTGGGCCATTATTTAGCTGTTGGTTTACATTCTCACTCCATTACCATCCGTAAAACTGTTTGAGCAAATCGGTAAAGGGCAAATATTTTACAGTAAATGAAAAGGCCGGGTGAGGTGAGGGCTTACATGTGGTTTCGGTTCCTTTTAGAGGGTCACTGCTCTCCTCTCCCACGACAGCGTAAACGTTTACCAGGTACTCGGTCAGAGGGTTCAGGCCCTGCAGAACCGCTGTGGTCTCAGTGCCATCCACAAACACCTGGAAGAAAAGCATTCGTGTCAGTTCCCAAGGGCCTCATTCATAAAGCCTGCATGCGCACAAAACTGTCATATACCACACTTTCCACGTAAAGTTTGTGATTTATGAAAAGACAAGATTACTTAGACAGTAGTGTAGTGGTGTGGTGACATTTTGTTTTGATTTTTGGATTGAAATTATTTACAAAATCCTTTTTATATCTAGTCATATTGATGGTTTCATTTCTATTATTTTTTCAATAACTAAATATTGTTTTAATATTTTGAATTTAATAACAATTTATAACCAAAAAATGAAACGAAAGTGCATCAGTAGTGTTGTATTTTTGTTAAAATGTGATGTTAGAAGAAGAAGCCAAAACCTCAATTTTCTCTGAACCAGACTGTATTGTTTTATATTAAATAGTAAATATCTAGCATTATGTTGGGGTCTGCGATCTGCAGATGTGACCTGTAACTCAGTAAAGTTACTTGCTTGTCTCCAATAGATGAAGAAGTTTAATGCTATACTGTGGCAAAACAACATGGACCAGAGCAAAAAGCCTCCGTGTGCAAAGTAACTTAGTACACCTTTATGTAATGTAAAAACATGAATCAGTACCAATTGTAGCCTTGGTTTCCTATTGAAGTAAACATCTGGCGTTTAAAACAAACATTTATTTGGATGTGGATGCCAAAAATGCAAATTGCTTCCACTATTTGTGAAGCAAACAGAGCTATCACTATGAAATGAAGGTTTTACTTCCTAATCCCCGTTAGAAGGATGTTTGTTGTGATGTAATTAGACACCCACAGAGACAGAGGCCAAAGTAAACAACGAGCTGGGAATAGACTTTTGTAAGGAGTTTCCCACTGGACTCAAATACTGTCAGGATCAATTTAGCCACTGATCTCATAGAGTGGGATGAGTAATTTCCCATTTGGTGATTTGTGTTCTGGTGTAGAGCTGAGAAAATTCTCGATATGTTTTTACGCACATGAATTAGGAAGATTTTAGGGACTCCGCAGACTTGAATGAGAAAAGCTGAGAATGAGATTAAAAGTCTCGACATTGTCTTGACATAAAAAACTTTAATTGCTGATTTAGGAAAATCATTTGTTTTTCCTTATACTACAATCCATTTATCTATAATAGCAAACTGTAAAGAGTCTCCAAAAGAAGATCATGCCAGACCCATTGAGATCGTCAACAGAAGTTCACAATGTCATCCAGCCACAGCTACAATTGTCAAGATTTTAGGGACTCTACAGGCTTTAGGGCAGGCATGCCCAAACTAAGGCTCGGGGGCCAATTGTGGCCCTCTATGTTATTTTATACGGCCCTCTGCCTTGCTAACCCAAAAAGTAGTCTTTAGGATCATGAAGACAGGTTCACAGTGTAATCCAGTCATTTTATACCTAGTTGTGAAGTTTGATTTCTTGACTTGGTTTGACTAAACTGACATTCATTTTAGATTGTATGGTACTAATGTATCTGGTGAGTAAACCTTTGTCATTCAGCCAACTTCAGTTTTGTCATAGATGAACCATTATAGACATTTCACACCTAATCTTAAACCTCAGAACAGCCTTAATCCAGTTATGTTGTCAGCCCCAAGTGGCCCTCTTACTAAAATGTTTGGACACCCCTGCTTTGGGACTCCGTAAGAATGAGAAAAGTTGAGAATGAGATTTTTTTTGAGCTTTCAATTTTTGCTGCCACCATAGATAGGCTAGTGTAAAAGCTATCGGCCGTACCTGTTGAGGCAGACCGGACAGTGTCATGTACTCCACGCGGTACTTCTCCACTGGACCTTCAGGACCAGTCCAGGAGGCGCGGAAGGACTGGTGGGTCACTTCAGAGGTCACCAGGTTAGTTGGGGCATCGGGTGGGCCTCCTTTTAAACAACAGACGTTACCAGCGTTAGAGTTATTCTCGACCGATTGATGTGAGTGATATAAAGGGATATACCTGGTCCCTTCACGCTGTTACAGAGGTTTTCCGTGAGGCCGTCCACGATGTCCAGCAGGAAGGAAAAGTCAGCGACGTTGTACATGTGAATTTCATCTGGGTCTGTGGCGATGGACCTCAGCTCACTCTCATCAGCATTCTTCACACCTTTTCAAAACATGTTCATTGTAGGTTAACAATAAAAACGCAGACAAAAAATGTATTACGAAAAGTCCTTACCAATAGCGTAGAGCTCGATGCCCTGATCGCGCAGGTTTAGAGAGTTGGCGATGACATCGTCTTGGGACTTGCCATCGGTGATCAGAACACCAATCTTCCTCGCATTTGGCCTCATCCCAACGTTCTCCTTGAAATTGTTCTGCAGGATGTAGTTCAGGGCCAAACCTGCAAAGATATCCGTGAAAAACATTTGCATCTTTGGCTACATGCTCAAATCCTCGACAAGCTTGTAATTATGCACTCACCAGTTAGGGTGTTGCCTCCTTTATAGGGAAGGTTAGCCACGGCGTCCAAGAGAGACTCGCGGGTCTTGTGTGCGTCCAAGTGCCACTCTGTTTTGGGGTCTCCACTGTATTGCGCAAGGCCTGTACAAAAGTTCTGTGTTGGTATGGATCTTTTATGATAGATTTGATACCATTTGATACCATTGACCACACAGAAGTCAGGGATTTTCCACTTGATGTAGGAAATAGAAAGGCGAAGCTAACATAATTCTATAAATACCAAATGTGACATGTAAATCTCTCCATTGTGAGATCAATAAAGTGTATCCTATCATATCTCATCTTAAGTATTAGAGGAGTTTATATGTTTTGTCTTCTATAAAACCACCTTTGCATCTTTTGTCATTTTCTTCATGAGTATTACCACATTTCTATACCATCTTGATAAATAAATACTCCAGTGACTCACCAATCTGGACTCTGTCTGGCCCGATGTCAAACACTCCCACCGCACGGGCAATGAAAGCTCGAATGGTCTTGAAGTTGAGACGACCAATACTCCAGGAGCCGTCGACTAACAGCACAATGTCCGCCTGTGCTTTGGTCTTGCACTGGACATCTGTGCACATTGTTCAGCGGAGTGAGCCTTTGTCAACATGTTTTATATCATTATAGCAAAAGTTTTAACAAAACATTAAGAACAAATCATGTTGACAATTTATGTATGTGAGAAGGAGAGAAGAAAATGTCAGAATCCAAAGATTTAGAGGAAAAACACGCTTATAAACAAGAAATGAATGGAGTCTTCTTGACAGTCTGTAGATCAAACGCTGATCCATGAGTTATTCCATTGTTCCCTTAAGAAACAGTGTTGCTTCTCCGTATCTTCATCCTTTTTCAAAAACATGGAAAGGCATCCTCGGCACCTGAAAGCAGGGCTGCAGATGTTGCACTAACTGCCACTGTCTGCAGCTGAAAACAGGTTACATGGGGGTGATTTACACAGCGTATTCATCAAAGCCAAAAACCACAAGTGCAACAGAATAAATCAATAAAGCTGTCGCAGACAACAGAAGAGGTGCTGCACAACTATGTCTGCTATGTGTGTCTGAAGAGACCAATGCATTTTAAGACCAATGCCCTCCACTTTGTCTCTGATGTTTATGGAATATCTGTTTTTTTACTAAGCTTGTGCAGATATTTCATCGTTTTCAAAGGTTCAAAGCCATTCATTGCTTGCAAAATGATGTTGTCAATGTATTTTTACAAAGAACAATTTGAAAAGACATGAATCAGGAGAGCTCGTATGGTAAAGTGCAGTGGGTCCCAAAGAGCTTTTCTATGACGCCTGAATACATGAGGATGTTTTAATTATTATATTAAGTAAACATATCATATATATTAAGTAGAATGGGATTAATTACTGGGGCTTTCGTGAGAGGGCACTGCTATCTTCAAAGTTAAAGTAGTTTTATGACTGCTTATTTTAGCTCTTCAAGTGCTAGCCTTATTGGGATCAGCACAGAAGCTGAGTCATCCTGACCTTTCTCAGGAAAATGCACATTTTTCTCTTCTTCTCACGATTAGTTCCTGTTGCGTTCATAAGTAGTAAAATGTTTTATGTCCCTAAGCATTTTTCATTCACATGGATTGAATATGCACTAGCTGTTCTTGGACTGGGAATAAACAATGAAGCCTGGTGTGACAGTGTGCCTGAAAGTCAGGCACATGGAATTCCCATTAGATCTGCTTTACGAGACAATCATCCTGAGCTGAAGGCTTTTAGAGAAGCGAGGGTTTTACAAGGCAAGTAGGCCGTTTGCTAAGTGATTGGTGATTTGTGCTGTTAGCTGTTGTTTCTAGGAGACAAAGTGATGACATGTGACTAACTGATTTGTAGCACATACACGTACTGCAATCATTTGTACTTGTATTTACATTTATATACCTGTGGGGGCGTATGGAGGGGGCTCTGGTCCATCAGACATAGTGGTTGTTTCCCTTCCAGCTAGAGGCATGCTCTCTCCCCCCTCAAACATGCCAAATACACTCACTCTATATGTTGTCTCAGCTCTAGAGATGAAATAGTTTGATTATAAAATGCAAAAATGTTCTCATGCGTTCTGAAATGATTCCTAAAGACTGACCTCAGCTCTTCCAGGACTACTGTGTTGTCATAGGGCCCAACCATCAGTTCACCCAAGTTAATGTCGTCTCCCTGTGGATGGAAAGTGACTTTATAGCCTTTCACGTCTCCTGGGGCATGGTCCCAGGTTACACGGAAACTGGTCCTAGTTGGCTCTGAAGTCTGAAGGTTTCTGGGGCCTTTGTAAGGTGACACTGCAATAAAAATAATAGAATTTTTTACTACAGAGCATAATTATTGTTGGGAGTGAGGTTTATGATGGTCTCGCTTGCATAAAGGTTTGAGTGGGAATGATCTGTGCTTACATGTGGTTCCTTCGCCCTGCCTGGCTCTGCCCTCCCCGGATCGGTAGACTGGGATCACTTGTATTTCGTAGGTGGTGAGGGGGGTGAGGCGGCGGAGCACTGTGGAGGTGGTGCCCCCCGGAGCCTTGGCGGCCAGCTGGCGTCCTCCGGCTTTGGGTTTATAGGTAACACGGTAGTTTTGCACATTCCCAGGGGCAGGTTGCCATGTCACCTTCATGCTTTTCTCTGTCTCCTCCGACACAACTATCGCTCGGGCGTTGGCTGAGACTGGAATGGAAAAAGAGGACATTTTAGTTGTTTTAATTGTGATGGTAGTCGTCATTATTTGTTTCAATCACGTACTTTCATATAACTTATTTATTGACTATTATATAGACAGGAAAGTCCCACATTTCAAAATCTCTCTTTCAGGGGAGTCCTGGTCCCAGAGAGAGGGAAAGTTGTTAATGGTATGGGAAACTGGAACACCTACGCAGAGAACATGCAAACTGTTTATAAAGGTCCTGGTTGGAGATGGAATCGAACTCAAGACCATCTGGCTGAGAAGCGAGAATGCTAACCACTCTACACAGAAATACAGTTTGAAAAGCGCTTATTTGGCTCCACCCCTCACTTATAACACAAAACACATGCACACACACAGACACGCATGCACACAAAAAACAGGTAATAGACACACAAAGTCTGACCATACACCTCCCTCCCATTACTTGCTTTTATTTTTGAACTGAATCATATTTGAACGTGTTTTAATTAATCTGGTAAGTTATTCAAAATAGTTAGATGAAACACATATTAGAACATTTATACAGATATATATTTTTGTGTACATGTCATAAATTTAAAAATGAAATGAAAAATATCTAAAATACGTTTCTCATCTCTTTTTTTTGCAATAGCAATGTAATTCAATCCCCTGACTTTTGGAGAATGCCATGTAAGCTTACTGTCAGTGGTCTCCTCTCCCACGAGCGGCTGGCCCTCTCCGTGTCCGTACACAGCATAGACAGAGACCTGGTAGCGGGTCTCTGGGGTCAGTCCCTCCAGCACAGTCTCTGTGAGGCGGCCCTGAAGAGTTTTCTCTCCGCTCTCGTCAGAATACAGGGACTTCCATGTAACGCGGTACTGACGGACTTTCCCCGGAGCGGCGGCCCACGACACGGCGAAGCTGGTGTCTGTGACGTCTGAGGTCACCAGGTCTCTGGGGGAGCCAAGTTCTGAGGAGGAAAAGAAAAACAGCATCAGCATCTTTCCATGTGGTGGTGCTGCTTTCAAAGGGCAAACAGGCGAAACCATTATCAAGAGCCTTTAGGCAGGAAAAAGCACAATTTTTTGTAAGTTCATGCACAGTACATTAAAAAAGAGGATACAATCTTTCAGTTGTATGCTCAGCTTTTCAAAAGTTTAGCTGCATAAATGTGAAACGCTGCCTCCCGTGTTTAGTTCTGGCTCCGGCACCAGCCGGAGGCCAGTCCTTGTGCTCATCAGAGTCTGAGTTGGTTCATATGGGACTTTAGTGCGAGGCAATGGAGAGACTGAAATACTGTTGTGCTTGAATGTTCACACACCCAGCTTTTCATTGTTTTGGCCATAATTTGGAGATTATGAATGATAACAAAAACACTTGCACTCAGCGTTGTGGTGGGTCTTGGAGGAAGGCATATTGTCAAATAAATGTGTTTTCTATTTTCAAATGATAACGTAATCAAGCCGATCTATGGAGAGGTCAAATGTGCTATTGTAGCAAGGCAGCCAAGGAATTTACGGGAACTGGAGGGTATTTTCCAAGAAGAATGCGCCGTTTTACCAACAGAGAAGATAAAGAACCTCATCCACATTGAATATACTGCATATTGAGACATGATGACAACTGGACAGAAATGATCCTTCATAATTTCTGAAATGTGGAAACAAAAATAATCTGTCTGGATGTGTAAACTCTCAATTGCATACAGTACACATTGGGAGGTATATAGGGGGATTTTCTACTTCAGGGTGGATCATCAAGACTATTGGTCCTCCCAATTGTCAATCATTCTGGTGATAACTGCTTGTCAAATGAGACCAGAAAGTTCAACAAGTGGGATTAGGGGAAATACCTTTAATGTTCAGTTTGGCGGGTGGAACAATATTATCTATAGCAAAATAAGTCAATGGTAATAAATACTCTCAAAAATATATGTATCACAGTTGAAGCTCCCAGGTTAATGGACATAGAGAAACAGTAAATGCATGGAAAGCGACACAGGTATTTTATTTGGGCTCAAAATGCTAAGTTTCGATATCAGACTATGCACACATGGTGTTGATTGGAAATGCAGATAGAGAAGGTGGTTTTTTGAGGAAGTAACTGAGACGTGATAAAGAACTAAGCATCACTCATCTGTCTGCACTGAAATCCCTGTAGGTCCCTTAGAACAACATGACTTTTCTTTCATAATCAAAGACCTCTGGAAAAGTAATCACATATCTCCAGCCCCCCCCTCTACTTTAATTTTCCACTAAAATCGAGGGAAAGCAACAGACAGAAAAAAAAACCTTGCTTCTCACTACAATTGCAGATGTTGTGAAGTTTAGTTCTGTCCTTCACTTTCTGTTTTTCCCTAGAGACCGATGGAAAGGTGAAGCAAAAAACAACATTATTCAATCGGTCAGAGCAGGGCACACAAGCGGAAAAGCCCTTTAAGAACGGAGTTTGCCGCCAATGACAAAATAATTGCTGGCAGTGTGTGTGGTAAGTTGGGTGGTCCTTCTACAACTCATCAATCACCATAACAGCCAAAGTGACAGAATGCAATGCAGCAAAGATCTGTATAATGTTTTAGATGCATTGAGGGGAAGAGGTTTTGTCAGCCAATGAGCCCTTTGGAAGACGCCATCCGCTGCAGATGAATTGGAAAATTACCTCAACAGTAATAATAGAGATAGTTGCCAGCACTGTGATCTGCACCTCCAGATCCAGATATGAATGGATGGCCAGAGATTAATGAAAAGTCCCAAGCTAGCAAGCAGTGAGGATATAAAATTACCACTTATAAAAACCCAGATTGTTCCCTCAAAAAAAAGGTTATCTTGGCTCGGCAAAATCCAAAAAGGATGAACTTAAGTGACTCTTTTTGGCTTTGTGTGAACTGAGGCCAAAGTGGAGCTCACGATAATGACTTCTACAGACAGAGGGGCTGCTGCAGGATGTCCAGCTCACAAGACAAGCCGCGCGCCATGCACCCCCTAAGTCATGTATCAAAGCCTCTGGCACTGTCGGGTCACTGGCACTGACGCTAACAGATCTCACAGGTTAGATTATGGAAGTGAAGTCTTTCAACGCAGGCGGAAGGATCTGTATTACAAATGTTCCGCAACAACACATAGCGATTCATCAGATATCTCAAAAAAAAGACTTCAAAGTTTGCAACAAAATATTTCATACTCGTACATCTGCTGAACACGATCAAAAACTGCTCGGAAATGAATAGGACGTGATTCTAGTTCCAGGTATGTAATTATTTCCGACTCCAATCCAAGGATTAGAATTTAATCAATGAATTCAAACTGCAATCATATGTGGTATTAAAAGCATCACCGAAAAAGCAGTATTAAAGCTGGAATACCTAACTTTGAAACCACGCAAAATGCTCCTGAAATTGCTACTTTGCTAGTATTCACATGCAAGTTATGGCCTCTGTCACATCTTGAGATCAGCTTTTTCAGCTTTCACTCAGCCAATCAGCTCTCAGTATGTAAAAGATAAGATGTTGGCTAAAAAAAATATATGAAGACAGTATGTACTGGTCTGATTTGTTCCAAAAGTGTGCTTAAACAAGAACAAAATGTATTTATTAAACAACAAAAAGTCCTCAGTCTCAGAATTAGAACTGAATTGAGACTGACTTCTATGGAAATAAATGGTGGATGAATGGAAATGCAGCTTCTAATTTGACTCAATTTTCCTGGTATGTAATGAAAATATTTCTTTTGACACTAACCACACAATGCCCCTGCCTGTCTGAAGCTGGACCACACCCTGAAAGCAGATGAGCAGACAGTTCCCGCTGGGGCAGACAGAAACAGCACTATTTTTCTTCACGTTTTGCCAAAGTTCCAGCCCAGTAAAGTAAATATTTGTCATATTTGTGTCTAATAACCAGATGTGGGGTGATTATCTAAGCATTTGCCATGACGGTCAGCCTGGTCAGAATGTTATAAGTCATCCTCCTCTACGCGTCTGTACTGGCCTCGCTTTGAGCCACAATGAATGACTTTGTATAAACCGCTCCATCAGCTCGTGCCTCCTCCGTTCCCAGAGACGGTCACTCAAAGCTACTTGCAATGAAAACAATGAGATCAATGTTTAGACACGCTGATGTCACGACAAAAACAAACTGCTTTGTCAGGAGGCCTTTTTCTTTGTTTGGTGGCAGCGCTTAGTGGAAACTATTGTTAAAACTTCAGTAACAAGTCAAGTGAGTGTGTATCTGGACGACTATAACTACAGCAAACTCTATTTGTTAAAAATATTATAATAACAGACAACTTACAGACAATTGCCAACCTTTCCAACATCCTCCCCCAAGTGCAAAACAAGATTTGAAAATATTGTTACACAACTAAAAAGCTGGGAAGGTTTTTGATTCATAAATAATATTGTTTGTACCAACAGAAAGAGTTTTGTTGGACCACAGTATACTGACTTCATCTAATTGAAAATACAATATTTTGCAAAATTGTAAGAAAGAGCCCTGTGAGCCACTATATGGCGCTTTGGGCTGATTCACTCAATGCGGGCACTTCTCTCTTTTTCAATGATATATCTGAAAATTGCTGATCGAGATGAAGGGACAGAGGCCAAAAGTACATGCGTGTGAAAAATGGTGACAGAACCAAATGGTTAAATTGCGAGTGATGATCTAGTTGCATGGATCTGACGACATAGTTCTATATTTTGGGGTTTGATAGGTAGCTGTGTGGTGAACTAAAGCAACTGCAGAAACAAAACACTGACAAACAATTGAACACAGCAAGAACTCACAAAGCCTTGGTACATGCATCCAGTCCAACCATCTGCAGTAGCCTTGGATCTATGCATCAGTCAAACATATGGCTCTCAACTCCTGTTCCAGCCCATTTCAGCCTCTCTTGGGTTTACAAGCCTCCCCCACCCATTTAACATTGCCTTCATGGGCGGCATAGCCAACCGATCCTACAGCCAATGCCAACAATTACATCAACTGCCACATTCCCCTCTTTTCCTCTTAAACCGCAGCCTATATAAGCTACCACCCTTGCAAATTGAAATTTCCACTTCTTTGATGCTGATGTAATTACATTTGAAAACAGCCACATGCTACATGCAACCGCAAATATCAAGTACAAGCTAAAAAAAATATGTCAAACTTACCCTCTAAGGTGGTTCCTGTGCCCAGCAGAGGATCTCCAGCACCAGAACCGTAAATAGCGGCAACAAAGAGCTCGTACTCAGTGGCCGGCGTGAGGTCTCTTAGCTTGGCCTGGGTAGTGTCTCCTTTGACAGATATTTCTTTCCTGTCACCACCTTCGGCTGGTTTGTATGCGATCTGGTACTGAAGGACATTTCCAGGGGCCGCCTCCCATGCCACCTGCATAGTATTTATGGTTTCGTCAAATACCCTCAGGTTTCGGGGGGAGCCTCTCACTGAAAGAAACAAGAGGACAGTGTCAAAGATTGTGCATGGACACCAAGTTCATCAAGTATAGTAACTGGTTTATTTTGTATTTTATTTTATTGGTAGAGCTCTGAGGACAGTGGGTCAATAATTGTGAGTGATTCAACTTGATGGAATGATTATGATCGGTCACCCATCACATGTAAATATCTATGTATGGTGTTGCACGGGTATACAACAATCAGAAAATGAAAACACACAGTAAAACACACACAAAAGGCCATTTAAAAGCACAGTTTAGTTCAGTGAAGATCAGACTTAATACTGGATTGAAGGAAGGTTTTCAGCCTTAAATATCTCCAGGGCCTGTCTCACTCCTTCAGGAAGATTGTCCCAGATTTCAGGTGCATAGGTCTGATATGCTGCCGTCTTACAAGTATGTGTATGTGCAACCTGTGTGTGTATTTCACTTAAAATGTATGTTTAATGTTCCTATTGTAATGTAATGTATGCATTGTTTTGATTACTGTAAAGAAATATGTGGAATGAAAACAACAAAATATAATGAAGTAAAAAATATGAGTAATGGCCATCAACTTTATGGAATATAAGAGTTGGTTTATTGGTAGAGCTCTGATGACAGTGTGGTAATATGTCATGAATATTGTGAGTCATTGCGAGGGATTGAACTTATTGATTATTATAATATTGGCAGAAGATTTTAATACGCCTATGTCCAACCATACAGACGCTTCCATACCTTCTTTGGTCGTGCCCTGCTCCTTCACCTCGTCTCCCACACCTCCAGCATACTCAGCCGCCACAGCCACGCGGTAAGTGGTTGCCGGGAGAAGTCCTTGGAGAACTATTGTCGTTTCTGGTCCACCGGTTTGGGTATTTTGTAAGGCGTAGTCCCCCCTGACTGGCACATAGGCAATATGGTACCGAATGACCGCACCGGGGGCCGCCTCCCAGGACACCCTGAAGCTGTTGGTCGTCTCTTCTGTAATTTGAATGTCTCTGACACCACCTTGCTCTGAAAACACAGACATTACTTAGTACACAACTAGCTTATCCAAAACAATGATGCATCTAATTGACAGCACTTGTACCTTCTAATGTAGTTTCTTCCCCGGACAAAGGAAAACTGTCTCCTCTGTCATATTGTGCAAACACTAGGACTTCATAACTAGTGAGTGGAGTAAGACGGGGCAGAACAGCTGAGGTGGTCCCGCCTGGTAGTGCCATGGAAACATAGTCTCCGGTCACGTCTTCGGCCTTACGGAAACGCAGCAGGTAGGACAGTACGCTGGCTGTGGGGGCTCTCCATGTCGTACGGAAGCTTCTGGAGGTGATCTCAGAGAACTCCAAGTCAGAGGGTGGGAGAAGACCTGCAAGAAGAACGTCAATGAATACCTTGTTGGAGGCCACAATTAATACTTCATATGAAAATGTTTGGGCGAACATACCCTATTGAGAATTGGATTACAGTATTTTTCAGGAGCTAATGTGGCTCTGAATAAAAACAAACAAACAGTACACCTTCTCTATTACAGGTGTGATAGAAACAAAAATCATCTTCTTCTATTAAATGCAATTTCTTATTGTAATTTTTTTTTTTCTTTCATTTTTTTCATAATTTTTTTTGGGGAATTTCACAAAACATTATATCATTTTGGATTTTTTTGTAATGTAGAATATGAATATTGTTTTTCTTGAAAAGAGGCAGAGCATTAGTGTGAAGGGGCGGAAACCTGTATTAGCGTAAAGATATGTGAAATTGTCTTCAGCAGGTTTGAAAAAAAATCAAACTAAATCGAATTTAGCCTTTATTTATTACGGTTTCAAAATATATACCAAATCAAAAGTCCCCTGTATCTACATATGTATCGTAATGCCAGGCTCTAAGAGCTACCCAGTCCTATTCCCTCTCATCAAATCTATCATTGTTTGCTTTATTAACACCATGCATTTGGATATAATGTCATTCTACTCACTCTTCTTGATGATGTTAAGCAGCTCCTGTTCGATGCGCAAACAGATGGACTGAGTCAGCTCTTTGGAAATCCTCTGGAAAGCATCAAAGTCCTCCACCTCAAAGACATGAGAGTCCGATGGGGGATTAGCGATGGCTTCCAGTTCGGATCTGACGGCATCCTTAACACCCACGGCAAAAATCTCCACATCCGTATTCCTCAGTTTGGTGGCGGCGTCCTTAAAAGAATCCGAAGACTTTCCATCCGTGATTAGCACCATGACGCGTGGAACGTTGTCCCTGGCTCCGCGGGAGGGGATAAAGATCTTCTCTCGGACGTAGGTCATGGCTCTTCCGGTGTTGGTGGAGCCTCCTCGGTACGGGAACGTGCGCACGGCTTTTACCACCGCGCTGAGGTCGTGGTGGGTGTTCAAGGCAAACTCGGTGTGGGGGTCGCGGCTGTACTGCACCAGGCTGATCTGCACCTTGTTTGGCCCGATGTCGAAAGATGTGACGAGGACCTCCAAAAACGCACGGACCTTGGCAAAGTTTTGTAATCCAATACTGTACGAGCCATCGACCAGGAGAACCACGTCGGCCTGGACATCCACTCCCAGAGAACATTCTGGAAAATCAATAAGAGGTCACATAAGTATAGCCTCCGGTCTCAGTTTCTACCTCAAAATCACACTTGCCTGTAGACACTTTGATTGGCTGGGTTTTCTCCATAGCAACGAGGGGCTCACTGGGGGTCAGACCTTTCAGGGCAAAGAGGCTGACCTCATAATCGGTCTCAGGGGAGAGGTCCCGCACGTTGATGGATGTCTGTGTGTGACTGATGTACAGCTCCTGCCGCTTCATGCCGGGCACCATGGGGATCAGGGTGAGCTTGTATCCTGTGATGTCACCGGGAGAGGCGTCCCAAGTCACCCGCATCGACTTGGAGGCTATTTCTGTCACCAGCAAGTTGGTGGGTGGCTCAACAACTAGAGGGAGATCCAAGTGAGAATAAACTAAGAGACATCATACAAAAACAACAAAAGCAACTACAGCAAACACACAATAACACACAAGAGGTTTCTAATTATGCCTGCTTTAGACTTGTTTTAGTCCTAATTGGTGTAACAAGATAGTATCATCTTTTTGGTTTAATCTAAGAGCGCGTTCACACATGGTTGGTCTGGTTCATTTTAACTAGAAATACTTTTTGACTTGGGGCCTCATTGGGGGTTATTTGATAGGGACAAGTATGTTTTATGAGCACATTACACACTTTCTTCTCAATTTTCAACGTCCATCCCAGTTGGGCAATAAAACGGTTCAGTAGATCAGACAAGAGAACAGGTAACTTTAGTCAGTTCACATCTTTTGAAACAGATCTGTGAAACTTTTTTTTTCTCAAATGATCAAGGATTGGTTCAGATAAAGTGTCCCAGACAAAAGTGAGGATGGCTTAAGTTGATCAATAGTGTCCAACTCCAAGCATAGTCTTAGAATAGGTTTAACTTCTTTTTCAGCCAACTGATAGAAAAGAACCAAGCCAAAAATGTGAACCAGCAAACTAATACTGTCACCTTTTTCAATGCGCTCCAAACACATATTTAGATTTTTAGATTTTCCTTTGTGGCGTTATACAGTATAGTTATCACTTACAGATAAATGAAATCAGTCAGCAGAGGCCAACACTACAGAGCCTCAGCTTCACAAAGATTGTATTTGTCAAGCCTATGTCTTGACTTGATCATTTTTGACTTGAGTAATCCTAGCTCAGCATTGTTCATACCGAGACAGCCTCACATAACAGTCTCCAGGAGCCACATGCAGTCATAAAGCAAGTCATTTCCACTCACGTTCTTCCCCACTGACCAGAGCACTGAGCTGCTCATCCACCCCGGAGCACACCTCGGAGATGATTTTCTTTTGCACGTCTTGGATCTGATTGAAGTTCGGCACATTGTACACGTGTTTGCTGTGAGGTGTGGAAGCCATTTCCCTCAGCTCATCCTCATCTGCTCCTTTGATGCCTAAAATGAAAAGCATTGGAAGGCGCACACATCAATGACAAGCCATATGTTTTTCACTTTTTTGATGCAGATGCCGTCAAAAGCCTGTTTTTTACAGTTTTGGAAAGCGAAATGACTTCAGTTAAAATTGACCTTGCAATGAACAAGTCAGGGAGAATAAAATATCTTTCCATGATTCTCACATGGAAGAACTATCTAACAGAACAGAGAATAATAAAACATACCTAGGACAAATATTTCCACTCCAATGTTCCTAAGCCTTCTAGCATGCTCCTCCACTGGGTCCTGGGACTTTCCGTCGGTTATGATCATGGCTACTTTTGGGAAACCATCTCGCGATCCAGCCGACTCCGTGAAGATGTTATTGAGCAGGTATTCGATGGCCTCGCCTGTCCACGGAAAGAATCATGTTAAATTTCCTAAAAATGTCCACTAAACCAACACAAGCCAATTGAAAACAGATGAATCACACTGAAGATACAAGCACTTATAATAGCTTGCGTTCATTTTTCAGTTGGACGGCAGAAACCAATGCAACTCTATGAAAGAAAAAAATCCAGACGGTTTCCAAGATCATTATTTGATAGTGATTAGATTCACAAACCCGCCATTTTATTTGTATGTCTGAAAGTCCATTCTACTGGTCAGCATGCATTTTTTGTCACCACTTCTAGACATCTAGAATAACAGCTGTGGGAGTTGATGTACTGACAAAAAAGATATGGAACTTTCTGACAGTTTTTTTGTTTCATGTTTTTTTTCCCCTATGTATTTATTTTTCGCAGTTCCGTTAATCTTAATGTTTTGTTTTTTACAATCTATAGCATCCTAGGGTTTTGTTTCTTTCTCAATGTCACAAAGATATGCACACAATTTCAATGTCTATGTGAAAAATACATGGAGCTGACTGGCCAGAAAGTACAGAGACTTTATACCTCTACAATAAAACCAGTTGTGTGACATTTGACATATAGTATCATAGTTACCAGGAAAGATATTTCAGCTGCCTTCCACCACACTGCGTACCTGTCATTGTATTCCCCCCTTTGTACGGCAGAGTGTTGATGGCCTGGAGCACCTCCCCTCGTCGGGTGTACTGGGTGAGCGTGAACTCTGTGCGGGTGTCCGTGCTGTACTGGACAACAGCCACGCGAGTTTTGTCCGCCCCGATGTCAAAGGCTCCGGCCAGGGCCCCGATGAAGCTGCGAATGTGCTGGAAGTTCTCCCTACCCACACTCCAAGAGCCATCCACCAAAAACACCAAGTCTGCGATGGCACTGACGGAGCACTCTGAGGGGAGAAAGACGGACACGTTGGATCCAGGACAAGATTATCAAAACTTATGGTCATTGGTCATCTGCCCCTTATAGACCAAAACCAATGTGTTTTCTGTTTTATTTCTTGTGTTTTAACTGTTTGATTCTGTGATCTGTGTTGGTGATGTCAAAAGTTTTGTAAAGTCCTTACTCTAGGGCTGCAGGGCTATAGAAGAATACATTGAATTGAATATTAAAGAATAAATATAACGCATATATTTTGTCCATTCAAAATTTTAATGAGACTTTTTACTTTTCATGTTCTTCATGTTCATCATCTTGAATTGAACATATATGGTGAAACAAAATATGAAGGGTAAAAAAAAAATGCTTTCCACCTGTGACTCTGTATGCAACCACCAGAGGGAGGAGTGGATTTATTTGGTTTTTTAAATCCAAATGTGTTTTTTGTATTTCGTTGACTTAATATTTTAATATTCGGCTGCATGCCATAACAGGGAATATAGAATGTTCCATAGTAAAGTTAAAACTTTTTTATTTCTTTTTTATCCACATGCTGCCAACACAGCCATGCAATTGTAAATAATGTAATTTCAATTGCGAAATTGCCAAAACAAATGTATATTGGCAACACAATATGGGTTTTTGGTGTGATGTCATAGTGGTCCAATGACATCACACTATCACAGGACTAAGACTTTTAGACAGAAGAGGAGGAGTTACTTGTTTGTGCCTGAAATTCCTGACACTAGTGCATGGACGGTTAAAAAAAACGCTCCGTGTCTGTGACAGAGGAGGGAACAATGTTGGAAAATGATTGAAAACTCAAAATATGTCTCCTTTAAATGCAGCTACAAGGCTCGCAAGACTGATTTATTCCAAGTGACTTTCAGCTAAAAAATATGCTTATGTTAGGGAAACATTTTCTACCGGTCTGTTCCTTGATCTGTCCGTCTAAATAAAATCAAATTCATGACAGATATTTGGACCAGAAATCACATTCTCACATCAAAGGAAATATGCGGCAGTGCCAAACAGTGGGCTGGTTTTGTCATTTCAGCGAGCAGAGGCGTTTAATTGTGGCTTTATAGACTAAACATTTAGCAGAAGTTCCACCTCATTTTTCAGATTCCTAATCCCATGGGCTTTAAATCACGAACTTGGCTTTTGGATGAGTCTATAAAGATAATTTTCCAGGATTATAAGGAAGAACCTTAAAGCTTTATTCCCTTAAGATATTCTATACATAAATACCATGATGTCACTTTGAAAATTATACATCAAATTTGAGGTTTAAGCCTAAAAAAAATATCGCCTGTTTACTTATAATTTAGGGTTTATGGACGGTCTGGCTGTATTAGGAAAAGTTCCATTTGAGGCGAACAGTTGAGGTAAAATAAAAATTGAAAATTCTCTCAAAACACATGGACCACCAACAACTGGAAGGAAAACTGATTTTAAGCCAGTTTCTTAAGAGCAACTTTTAACCATTTCGTAACTGGCATAGTATATATACGTGGCAGTATGCAGACGTCAATCCCCAAGCCTCCTGCCTTTTTTTCTATGACGCAAAACCGTAACTAGCTTGAAGCCTCTTTCTTGATGCGCAATCTGGTTCTAATTAACAAAAGCCATATGTGGCCTTTTCACTGTTGGGGCCTGTCTGCTTACTCTATAGTAGGCAGCAGGTAAAAAATGTAAAGTCTGAGCAAATTATTCCACAAAGGGCGAAAATATGAACTTGACATTATGTGTGGAGGAAAAAGTAAAGGAAAAAGCTTAATAGAAAACCACATCGAAGAGGGACAAGGATTGTTGTTGACACTACAGTAAACATACTCACTCTGAGCGTCTGTCTGCGGCCTTCGGACACGACCGCTGCTGTTGCTGGACTGGACTGAGGAAAGGGGGAAAAAAAGTCACTAAAAATGAAAAATATATTATACAACGCTGGTGGTGTGAGAGCTTCGACTTACTGGTGACCTGTCCAAAGATCGGTATGCTTTCTTCTGAGCCATAAAAGGAGTTTATGGATACCGAATAATCCAAATCAGGGGTCAGGTTTGTAAGGGAGGTCATTGTGGCATCTGCAGCAAGGTTAAAATCTCGGACTGGCTCATCTAAAAGACAAAGGAGGTGCATAAGCTTCATTTTAAAGTGTAAACATTAACTGAAACTAGTATTACTGTTCAATGGTGAAGATCTGCATCCATAAAAAATGTAAATTGTAAATAAAGACGTAAATACTTGGATATTATTGACACATAGTGAAACCGTATGTGTGTATGTATAGTGTATTTTTATGTATGTGTATTTATATATTCTGTATGTGCAGGAACTAATAACAATTTGAATGGTATCTCCATACAGATACAATTTCAAAACTTTGGAAATACAGCAAACAACTTGACTGATGTAACAATTTCTGCTCAAATGAATGAATAACATATTTACATGCAAAAGGACTGTTTGTTCAGTTGTCTTACCTGCATCTGATACGACTTGTATTCTAAAGCCCTCTATTGTGGTAGAGGGTCTCAACCATGTCATTTCCACTGTGTTTTCATTTAGAATTTTAAATTTCATGTTTGACGGGGGTTCCACTGCAAGATGAAAAAAAGACAGTTTGAATCTCAGAAATCTCCAAATGCTGTATGCTTTTTGTGATCAATAAAGTTATGTTATAGGTTCCAACAACAAACACTTCATGACAGAAGTAACTGCTCTTGTTGTCGGGTGGGTGCACACATACAGTATTTGTGAGATAACAGGACATTGTGAGAAGTGTGAGAAGCCACTTTTGAGTTAAAATGGCATTTGAGTTGCTGGACCTGGTCTGCAGCTCAAGCACCAGCATATGCAACATCTGCATATATCCAAACAATGAGTGAACCATCCACACATGCTGAGTGCATCATGCCCCACCTCCACAGGCCCGAGTTACCATGAGGTGGGCCGAGACAGTGACTTCACTTTCACTGGAGTGATTATATGGAGATCAAGCCGTCTTTCACATCCAGACAAAAGTGAACCGGATATGTTCTATATACATCGTATATAAACATATTTCACGGAGGATTGCCGGCTTGTTATTTGAAGTGACTCCACAAAGGCGAGTCAAATACATCCATTGCAGACGTGTTACACAATATGTCACAGACTATTTGTGTAGTTCTCATGAGTGAGAATAATGCAAACACTACTCAAAAATAAATGGCAAAGATGAGTCCATAGAAAAAAATGATGATTATCAGAGGAGTGCACTGAGCACTGATCACAACGTCATGCATCATGTACATGAGAAAGTTGTTTATTTCAACAACTTTGACTGATACAACAGTAGGTTCCATGTACAGTTGAGACCACACAGACACAAAGGACGAGATATTTTAAAATGATATTCTTCTGACCACTGTGAGCTACACGACTGAATATATCACTTTTGGTCTTTTCAGTGTAATTAACTTCTATTCTATGTGGTGTTAAATTGTTTAACAGTTTGTAAAACAAATCATATTTTAAATGTTTTATAAATGTTCAATGAACTATTCTATTCAGGATCTTAGGTACTGCACAAGAATTTAAATAAAAACCACTCAGTAATTGAGAGAGACAACAAGCGTGTTCTAAGCAGCACTACTAATAGCAGTAATCTAAAGCAGACACAGCAGAGAAGAATATCAGTGTAAAATATTACTTCAAGAAGAAGTCATTGTTTCCGACACTGAGTGCACAGGCAGACGACAAACAACAGCCCACCACAGACTGTTAGTGGGATTGGAGAATCACCAACCTGGCACATCAACTCAAGGAGTCCCGCTGGACTGCATTCCCAGTCCTTTTCCATGCGTCCACTCAAAGTATGTAGTTAGAAACACTGGGAGACTACATCAAGTTATTGGAGGTGATGGATTCTGCTTTAAGTGGGTATTTTTATGGTTTGTCCACATTGTAATCGTTGGTATGTAACTTTTATTACGCTTTTGAACTGGTCTTATTGCTGTCTGCTCCATCAGTTGCTCATAAAGGTCCCCTCTGCAGCTCCAGGGCCCAGGTCTGGCTACTGTTGTGTTAGGACCCAAGTCTCCAGAGCTGCAGCCAAGCAGCAGTCTGGGCCTGAGCAGCTGCCAGAGGACAGACCAGAGGAGGAGCGAAGAACACCAACTCTCCCAAAGAGGCAGGGGAGACGCCAGAATCATTCCACAACATGTGCTGACATTAAACATTATTGCATATTACTTTCCATACGTATTGCAACTCAGCACTTTTCTCAAGCCCACAAAGAGGCAGCAGAAAGGCTCTTTGTCTTTGTGCTGTCTAACTATTAATTTGCGATTCTCGTATTTCATCTTTCCATTCCACTGGAGATACGTGAAGGAGAGTTGCATCCTGCCAAAGACCGATCAAGGAGGAAAATCTAAAGATTTCCACATCTGCTCCTTTTTATTTTCCTTAATTTTTGCGTTGGAAGTTTGCATACGAAATCAACTTGTCACTGTAGAAGTGATGGACAGAAAGAAAATATACTTTTTCTCATAACTCTGGTGACATTTAGGTAAATGACTTTACATATTTCACTTTAGAAGCACTTTTCACATCACAGTAGCACACATTACTAAATCAACAAGGAAACTGTTTGGACACAAGCACCAATGAAAGCCACTAACTAAAGATCTCACCATGAGATCTTAGTAGTAACAACAAACACACGTATAATACTATTCCATTCCATTGGTGCTCATTGGTTTTGCCAATTAAGAAATGAAAAATTATTAAGTTGTTTGAAAATGTTAATTGTAAAGTTGTTTGATTGCCCATATTAAGTTTCCTTGTGATAACATCCACAAATGAATACAGTCTCAAAAAGAACACGCGTAAAAACACTTTATTTTCTTACCAAACACAGTTGTAGTATTTCTGCAATAACATGAAACAGCTTATGACTTAGACACAACAGCAGATGAGAGACAGAGGAAAGTCAGAGGGAGTGTGTCCATGTGTGTGCGTGTGTGCATGTGTGTGCATGTGTGTGTGTGTGTGTGTGTGCGGTGACTGCCAGGTTCCATTTACCTTGAGCGTCTATGGAGGAGAGCAAAGCTGCAAAGAGGGCAGCTGTGGCCACTGACAGCCCTATCTTCATGTTTAGCCCTTTATATCGTCAGCAGTGCATCAATCAGTCTGAGGATGAAGGAGAGATGTATTAGGACCGTGTTGAGGCTTTATGTCCAAACACCGGCATCAGAGCCACGGGATCGGCTGGAGCAACATGAAAGGCACTGGACAAGACAATAAACAAGAAGCACCCAGAGCTAGCAGGCAACGCCTTTGAACGTGCTTCATCCAAACATCTCAGTTTGATCAGAGTAATAGATGCTGCTGTTATTACCAGACTAAAGAAACTACACACTCAGACAGGCTTACACAACACATGCCACACCTTGCAGCCAGCTGATGCCGCACAAAGCAAACTTCAATCAAAGCTAATAGGAAAATTACTAGTGAGCACAAGTCTTCATAGAGATGGCTCTATTTTGTATGTTTTTTTACTGAGGAACATAAAACCAATTATAATCACTTTTGTGACGGGTAGGGTGAACAAACATAATTCTATCTACAAATATTCTTTTATAATACTCTGTTGTTTCTATGTTGCTGTATCTTTTCATTATGGTCCTATAGGCAAGTCTAATTTACAAATGTCTCTCTTATAATTTAAACACATACCCCTACATATAATAGAGTAGACCGAGTGCCCCGCCTGGTGTACGAGGGAAGAACTACAGAAGCCAAAGTCTTGAACAAATCCAAACTTTGTGAAAATTGAATAACTGCGAAAACATACTGTGTTTAAAATGAATGTATTATATATTTAGACCCTATAGGAAAGATCTTAAACAAAGAACAATTTTAAAGGCTTAGAATTTCTTTTAAACTCAATAAAAAGTAAACAGATTATTGGAATAGGAGAAAAATGAAGTTAATAGATTTTTTTTTAAAGATAGAGATGAAAACGTTAGTTATAAGCCTAATGAAATAAAGTACTCACGGTTCTCCCAAATATAGAAGGGAGCAGATAGGTCTCTGGTGCTGGCTGCCCCTGTGCACAAGTGAAGAGTTGGAGACTGCGTGGTGGGACCCCTCTCTCCCTCTCTGCTACTGGAAGCTCCGCCACAGATGTCCAAGAAGGAAAAGCCTCTCTCCAAGTGGGAAGAATCTTTCCACCAGCGGCTACTTAACAGGGGGCAGATCCCAAAAAGCTCCACCGTGGGGAGTTCCAAACCTTTTCCTGTCTGTAGATGCCCCCAGACCGATGAGAAGCCTTCTATGGGAAATCTCTGAGCAACATCTTTCACTGTGCTCTTATTACACTGCTTTGATGATGATGATGATGATGATGGAGCGACACGTGCTGATTTCCATTATTCATGAGTCGGATGAGAAGTCAAAAGGTCATTCAAGATTTTCACAGGAAATTACATCAAATTTAAAGTTTATGGAAACAACATGTTGAGTTCTTGCCAAAACTTTTGATCCCGCTCCCGTCAGTTTTTCTGTGGTTCTCGCATCTGTTCTACTAGCGCCTCCTAGTGGTGAATGCGACTTATTACATCTCTGGATAATACATACATGAGCACAGTCTTTCTCCTCGTCCTGTCTACTAATCTTATACTTTCTATTTTTCTTCTTAAATGTTTGACTACTTATTAACATCATAAATCCAAACGTACCCAAAAAAATGAATTTCGGCTCGCTAAATGTAAAGTCTATAAGTGTATCAAAAGTAAAGCCAAAGAAAAGTGCGTCTGATGTGAAGTCATAAGTGGAAAATAGATTAGAATAATGATATTTTACAGATGGATTGCATTTATCTCTTTTATGTTATGGGATATTGCCCTCTGGTGGGTAGCTTTGAATTGCATCCATTCCACTGGAGTTTGAATGAGCAATGTTTTCTTGTGTCTACTGTCCTTATTTAATCATTTTTTATAGAGAGCGGGCTTTTTTACCCTGGAATATTTGTATCTTTATTTTTTTTTTGTGGTACTTCTCTAGCAGGGAGGGCTGTGGGTGTGTTCCCAATTATTGTCGGATCACATATTTGCAGTCAATGGATCTCACTCAAGGGATCATGGGAGATTACCCAACCATTTCTTTGTTGATCTAAAGGCCTTCAACTGGGTTCTCCAAGAGTAAAATAGTTTTAAAAAAGAAGTAAATTATCGACCAGAGAAAGGTGCCTTGCCTTCTTGGAGGACTTTTAGTATCTCTGGGGCTTGTTCAGTGAAATTTGAAAGGTGGATCAGTGCAGTGATGTTGGTGGTGAAGAGGGAGCCCAACCTTCATGTCATATTTTTCAGATGGTATATTTACCATCCAATCATCCACCCATTTCTGGGTTGGGGCGTGACAGTCAGAGCTGCACCCAATTCACAGAGCACCAGCCCCTCACTGATCCTACTGCAGGTTGAGTCAACAGGAGGATGCCTGCTCTGTCAGTGACAACATGCCTTGACATCAGTGGGAGTCGGTTGTGAAGGTCTTGTGGGGGGCTTGAATCCACTGTCGCCCCAGGTATTTTAACCATGAAGTGTATTGCACAGAGTATAATATACAAATTTATTATCAGCAGGGAAAAGTTAAATATAACCACACACTTCTTTCAACTGATAAATACATGCATAACAATGACCTTTGGGCTGTTAAAACTCAGACATACAAACGTTAGATTAAATCTACTGTAAAATTGTTGAACCACTTCAAAAGAAACCACAATGTATTCATCTAATCTATGAAAGTTGCAAAAAATTGGACGACTCCGTCAGGCTGAGGCCAGCACAGGGCACATTTCAAAAGTGTAATTATCTTATGATCGCTCTGAAAATCAATGCATATGTTGTACTTTTGTGTGTTCTGACTAAATGCATTCGAAAACAAAAGAAAATTACTTTTTTCCAACATTCTGAAATTATCATTTATAGTCATGCACAAGAACCCTTGCAGTGCATGTGTTTTGGTCAAAGTTAAAATTGATACCTGACGATGAATGTAGAATAACCATTTAAAAACATTACTATGCTCCCGACGTGCTGCATCAAGCTCAAGAGTAAATAGACTTCTTTCCAGCCAAAAGCAAACTGACTATATGCACTTTGTTATAAATGCTATATATTTCACGTTTCCCAAAATCAAAGCGTGAGAGGTATATGGACTATTACAGTGCTGGACGAAAACTCAATAAAAAATATGAACATTCTTCATAACAGTTATTTGCTTCTTGAATAGAAATGTACAACTGTGAACAAAACGCTGGAACATTCTCAGCAGACAGCTTTGCATCCTTCTGACGATTCACAAAAGCATGAGATGAATTGAGCAAAGCCACATTTACAGACCAGTGTATTCACATTCAGCTGTATATCTTTATATATATTTAGATAGATATATATATATATGTAGATACAGATCCTTTATTGGTCCGCCAGGCATGCAGAACAGAACTAGTATCTGCTTAGTTTGGAATATCAGCGCTGGTGTTACGGTTGTCGTATTTGTGGTGGATGATCAGTAAGACCACTCCCAGGAAGAAGCAGATGGAGCCCACCGTGATGTAAGCAATCCCCAGGAAAGGGTTCTTCCCTCCCATCCAAGAGATGGTGCTCAGAATCATTCGCTTGCGACCGTCAAAGCTGAGCACAGGGTAATCTGAGGTCAGGGAGTTAAGAAAAACTGACACAAAGGATCATTTATAGTGTTATGCATGCAGTGCAGAATGTGTGAATGAAAACCAACTTGAAAAAGGGGCAATACTATGTTTTTTTGTGAAATAAATAGGTGCAGAATGAATAAAAAAAGAAAAGAAACTATTGAAAATGAGTGGATATGATTTAGTGATTGCATATAGCCATCAATCATCCCAAATAGAACTGTATGCTCTAATTTGCACCAAAAATTCTCTGATACACATTTTATGTCTGTGCTTTGTATTCATTTGTATTTGTTCAGTATTTACATCAGATTATAGCTATTTACCATTTGTAGTCCACAGTCGCACTCACAAACACACTGTGCACACTGAACAAATTTAATTCTGCAGTCATTATAGAATTATCAAAGCCTTAAAATAATTCTTCTCAAAGCCTCTTCTCAGCATGTTTAAGTCTGAGGTTAAACAAATGAATCAATTACTAAATAAGCCGGTTTCAATAATCGATTAGATGCGATTCATGGATTCACTTTCACAGTCCTACAACCAATATATATTTTGGTCAACTAGGAGGCCTTCTATACAAACCTCAGACTCAAAATTATGTTATTTTGAAATCACACAAAGCCGGATTCTGAAAGGATACTGTAAGTGACCAACAGGGTGTATCGCCCGCTGGGGAGTGTAGGAGTGGGGCTGGACTTCTTCTGAATGATGCGGTACAGTTTGCGGAATGTGGGTAAAGCAGCCGTTCTCATCCACACGATGAAGTCCTCGTTGATAAAGCCGTTGTTCTCTGGGTCTGAGTCCAGCTCAAACGCTTGCTTTCTCCAGTTCACTGGTTTAGAAGTGCCTGCATCCCAACACGCATGACATTACGATAAGCATAAATAGATGGCTTCGTTCACTGGCAAATACAATAACACAATACCTGCGAACGCTATGGTGAGGTTGGCATTTCCATTGGGATTCCTAAACTTCACATGCTTGTCTGTCCACCATGCGATGCCCTTCTTCACCAGGGGAACTTTAGTCCCTGTGCCATTTGAGTCTACATAAACAAGCTCCAATGTATCTGAATAGGAACAAAACCATCACATTCATAAACATGTAATGAAAAAGCATCTAGATACAGGGAACTTTCAATTCACTACAATTTAACAACAGTACAGCTAAAAGAATTATAAGGTTCAGTAAAAGCTTTTTGCCCCTTATCAAATCATCCCATTTTAACACAAAAAATATTGATGCATATACATTTAATCTATTTAAGCATAATTATATTAAGATTAATGCCAAGTAGTACAAAATATTGTATATATATTTTATATTCTCAATTTTTGGGAAAAAAATTAACTTACCATTAAAAAGACTGTTTGCAATGGCCCCACATGGAGCAATCGGCTGGCCCTCACTATTGCGGTAAGGTTCACATTCTTTGCTTGGTTCCTGATTTAAACATATTAAATCAACATATTATTCAGCATAATATAATGACAGAAAATTAGGATTAAATCAATATATTTCAGTTTTTAATCAACTGTTTGTTTAACCCTTAAAAGACGATGCCATCGCCGACGATGGTTGCGCACATGTTAGCAACTTACTTCTTTTTTCTCCGTGAAGTACACATCCCAGCCTTTCCGAAACTGGCTCCGGTTTGCCTGTGCAATGCACGGAAGATAAACTGCGTGTGTATGAAAGTCAGTCCCCCAATCGGATCTTCGAGCGGTGCCCCGTGAGCTTCACACAGCCAATTGTAAAGTTGTTTACTCAAACGGGGACTTGCACAAAGATCGTCAGAGAGTAGGATCTCTCACTCCTGTGTGTACTTGTTGCTGCATAGGCAGCAGCGCTCAGAGGAGCCAGGAGTGCACATTATTGAGAATAGACAATAATAAATACAGTAAAATGATATTATGTGTATATAATGTATTTGTATATATAAATTAGATGTTTTATTTATTTTTTTGTCTTAGTTTGTTTTGTTTTACGTATTTTACAGCTGTGATACAGAAGCAACCACAGCCTCGTAGACAAACTGCTTGAGGAAGGGCATCAGGAGTACAGCGTTTTTGGCTTTTATAGTAGAATTTTGTAAAAATTATAATAGTCACTGGTTCAATATTTTTCCCCCTTATCCCAAAGACCATAAATAACATTTCTATGGAGTCTAAAAAGTTGTTTATAGCATTTCATTGTGTTTTTTCAATACAATTTTGTGAAATTGATTTTCCGTTTCATTTTTTTCTTTGTCTTCATGATTCCATAATCATTATATAATTGATATGACAGCTCTAAAATATGAATATTCTAAAACCCCAGGTTGTACTGAAAAAAACAAAGTATACTGCTTGACTCTGCATCAAAAGATGACTGTTTTATGAGCAATTTTACACACAAAAAACCAGGCGAGGAAAGTTCCCCGAAATGACTCTAGACCTTGGAGGATTAAGCAACTGTATACCTTTAACGCCGACAGGTCTCCATTGAGCTGGCTGTCATCTCTGGATTTCACATATCTTCTGTGATTTTGGTAGAAATTGGATAAGCCATAGTACATAAATACATTACTCTGTGGGGAAAAGACAAATTCTGTAGATTAGGCAAAAGTTATTGTATTACTACATTATTTATTTGAAAGCAAGAGGCTGTTCGAGAAGGCACAGTTGGTATTAAAAATCAATGGAGGCTTTCTGGCAGCACCTTTCACAAGACATTTTAAAACTACAACAATCGATAGTAACGACCGCCCGGCCCATCTTGGACATAAATAGATCCTAATGGACAAGTTGCACCAGGCAGACTGTTCCCCTTCAAGCACACAGACGTTCTTTTCTATTATTTTTGTTGGAGACTGGAGAGGCTATCTATTATTCAGAGGTCCACATATTGTCAGCTACTGGCTCACCTCGAAGGGCTGCTCCAAAGTAAAATTCAGAGAGCATATGCATGGTGTTGTGCTGTTCCAACTGAAGTTCCTGGCGCAGGTGTAACATGGACTGTTACTGTCAACACCTGTGTAGTCGATCTAGGGTTAAACAAAATAATTATATGAAACAACATGGAAAAAATAAATAAAAACAATAGATGGATTAAAGATGGATACCTAAAAAACACCACAACAATGTAATAACATCTATTCTACTGCTGTTCTCTCTCAAAACAGTATGGTTCCATTACTATTTTTATGCATGTTTTTTTAGCCTCTGTACTGTAACATCTATAGATCAGCTTTTTTCACAGCAAGCCCTTTTTAAGTATGAAAAAAGATGGCATGTTTGTTAATGAAGACGACGGAAGACGTCTTGTTCTTATTTGTTCACCACATTTTACGTTTAACCAACATTTCTGTATTTATGTTGGGTCAAACAAAATATGATATTCATGAGCAAACACCTCAGCTTTAATGTCAGAGTGCAATGGGAAAGGAAATGACCAAAAAGTTACAGCTACAGTAGTAACGCGGAAAACCACTCATTTCAACAGGTGCTCGTGAGAGAAGGTATATTTTATCAATCCATAATGTACAAACAAGCAATTGAAGTAGATCGTATGCATTTATGTAGCTATACAAGTACACTTAATCTGAATGAACCTGTTCCTATATATTGCATAGGCTTACCTCGAACTCTTTGATGTTGTTTGAAGTGACATACAGGCCGATGCCAATGGGGATGAAGATGAGCCCGATGACGAAGAACGCAGGGAGCACAGTGCCCGCCGTGAGGATGGGCTGCCAGGCGGGTAGTCTCTGCTGTTTAAACGCAGTATTGTCTGGTTTCCTGCTCTTGACCGCGCCTGCTCCGCCGTGAACCGCAGCCCCAGAGTGGTGGCCGTCCTCCTCCTTCGCGTTGTAGCTGGACGCCATCATGGCTGTGATCATCTGACGAGGACGCCGTAATCCACTTTACTTCTCTGTCCGCGGACTTCGTCGACGTTGTGAAGCAGCTAAGACACTTATAGCTCTGTGAAATGAATCAGCATGGCAGCGTCGTCATCGTCTAGGCTTAAAATCTATCTAATTTGTGATATTGACTTCTCCGTGTTGTTAATCCATCCCAGGAAGAACCCGGAAGTATTTGAACCAATGGGATTCGAGTATGGCCATGTTACGTTGAAGTCTGTGGTTACGTAACGGTCGAAAAAGCCACGCCCATTACACGGAAGAGGATTATTTAAAAAAAAGGATCACAACATGGATCTATTATAACGTTAGCATTGAAACAGACATGTTACAAATGTATTACAAAACACTGATATATTTTTCAATGAGATTTAATTCAAAATCATATAAACATATATGCATTAATAAAGCAACAATCCAAAAAACGTGTGGAGCGGAAAGAAGTAAAAACCATAGACTGTATGTAAAAACGTATGTTTGCCGAATTTTCAAACAGATAAACAGCAGGTCTCGCTGAGGAAAGACGTTCTTCTAAATTTGCATGGAACACATTCCGGTGTCATTTTTGTGACAATAAATAGAATAACAATCCATTAACTCATTGCATAAGTTTGTATCATTTTTGACTTTTCTTTATTTGCCAGTTGATTTTCTTATTACGATTACCCTTTACATTTATATATATTTATTTTCTAGAAAAATATTACACGTCACTTGTGTAAGTCTTTATTCAAAATACATTTTCAGTACAAATCCTTTACATGTAGCCATAATTTAATAACAGAAGCAAAACCTAGAAGTTTAACTTTTTATAAAACGTACTGTCAAACACAAAACGCAATCAAATAATAGACAATAGACAAGGCAGTTCATAGCAGCACAGAGTGACACTCACCACAATCGTTATGGAAGAAAGAAATAACACAAAAAATACATTAAAGTAACATATTTTGCCCTGATACAAGTGTTTATTATTATCTGTATGGCACCTTGGAAGAAAATTGATAGATGAATATATGACACACATATATATGACACATATTTTACATACATATCAAAACCTTGCACCTTTGTCCAGAGTGGTACTTGTTACAGACTTTTTAACTTCTATTTTCATAGATTGGCTTTCCATTCTTATTCCACTCGAGATTCCCAGGGATCCCAGCACCGTTTTTCCTGTTTTTAAGCCCTTGGACATTGGGATGCGCGTCAGCCCTGTGCGAGAAGCCTGAGGTTCCTGCACAGCCTGTTGGAGAAAAAAAGGGCAATAGGTATTATAATATATAAGATTGGTTATTAGAAGACAGCAAGACATTTTAATGGTGTGAAAGACTGAATTATTATGAATCGAGCGATCCATCCTTTTTTCTTTAGCAATTTTTAGACACCGAAATAATTAACACGTTTCTTACAAGGGCTCTATCAATCACCTATAATTTCAGACGGACTTACTTGCCTCATTAATATTTCTTTTATTAAGTTGCCTTTATATGTCTTTATTTGTTCTATTGCCGTCTAAATACATATATACAATTCAGTCACTACTCAATATAAAATTTTGATACCACAAGATGATTTCAAAATGTTCTCTCTTAGCAATGTATTGGTGCAAATAATACTTTAATGTGACTAGAATTTGTACAGAATGTTCATGATATAATACTAAGACTTTTCATCGTCTACAGACTCAAACATTACACCGTATTCAGATTGAAATCTAAAGCACTCTCACCGTGTTTTGTGCTTGTCGGGATGGTGCGGATGACATGGGGTTGATGGTGATACTGCTCATCACTTTGCTCTGTGTGCTCCTGGTTGCTGTGGTGGTGGTGGTGGTGATCTGACGTGGAGACCGCAGGACTGTCCCGGTGGATAAGGTCATCTCTTTGTTCTCCGCAGCTGAAGCCCCCTGCCTGGCTGCCATCTTTGGGTTGTTTCCAAGATGAATGTGAATCTTGTTGTCCTCTGTGGTGATAATGCTACTGTTATTGCTGGGACCTTTTCTCACAGGCATTGGAACCATCTGCTTCTCAGGCGTGACTTTAAAAACAGCTCGTCCCATGGTCATCTCCTGCAGATCAGGAGAGGGGGATCCTTCAGGAATCACAGTGCTGATGGTCGTAATGGAAACGGGAGACAAAGGCCGGCCAGAGGTGGAGGAAGACGATCTAACCCTTTCTGAGGACTTGGCTCTGGAGATTGTGGTGATAGAAACTGGAGACTTTGCTCTTTCTGAGACATGGCAACCAAAACCGGACTTCCTATGACCAGGAGCAGCAGTGGGAATGATGGTGATCCTGGATTTCGGTTGGGAATGAGAAGGGTTTGGGCTAAGTGGGGCTGAACTTGAAAATGCATCTTCGGTTGGGCTGCTGATTTCGAGCGTTGCCGTGTTGTTGTGGTGATCTGGCGTGACCCGTATGTGTAATGGCTGGCCTTGCTTTTGGGTCATGGTTAGCTCAGTTGGCAGAGCAACACCGTTCATGTGCTTTTCTAGATTGGTTTCTTGAGTAGCATTATCCTTTTTCCGCATCCAGGGAATCCATGACTTTTTCAAATCGCTTCCAGACGACGGGGAACGCTCAATGGACTTCTCAGAGGGCTTTCTGAGACACCTTTGCCTGAGGTTGCTCATAATGTGGTTTTCCTCCTGAACGGATTTTCTTATAAACACAGCAGGAGTGTCTTCATCTGCACCCCCATTGGACAGCGCTTCTGTTTGTACTCCCGTGGAAGTTGTTGCGATGTCCATCATTCTTCTGCCATTTAAACTTGGCCTTAGTGCACGACTGTGGCGCTTCACAATCTCCAGTTCTTTTGCCAGGTGAAAAACCTCACTGCCCATGTTCTTTGCTTTCTCCTCTTCCTCCAAAAACCTTTGCTGTAAAACTGAATAATCCACTTGTATCTGGGACAGTTGGTCCTCCTTGTGCATAAGTTCATGGATTTTTTCCTTCAGCGCAACAACATCAGCCTGCAGCTCTCTGTTCTTCGCTTCTTCGCTTCTACATCGTTGCCTAAGGTCTTCCTTCTGGCTTTCCTCTTCTCCTTTTTCTATGGCTTTATTGCGTGCTATCTGACTCCTCATCTCCTCCACCTGCTGGGAAAGAACATTGGCTTTATCCTGCTCTGTTATAAACCTCTTCTCCAGCATATCATATTGGTCTTCTGTTTTGATCAAATCTCCTTCCACCACCTCAAGTTGTTTAAGCCGGTTTTTTAGGCGATCAATCTCAAAAGTCAGCTCCTTGACTTTGTTGTCTTGTTTGAGTGGATCAGACATTCTTCCCAAATCGCTCTTGACAGAGTTTTTTGCAGACAACTTCTCTGCTTCTAATCCATCTATCCTCTTTTTGAGTAGGCTGATTTTGGAATGAAGAGTTTTATTTAAATCCATTTCATTAGCGAGTTTCGTTGACAGATCACCTTTCTCACTGCTAAGGGTCTGTACTTTGGTTTCCATTTCTGATTTCAATTTTAGGAGCTTTTTGCTTTCTTCTATAAGCTTCCCCGTGACTTCCATAACTTTGCCCTGCTCCAGCTCTACTATTTTGTTCAACTCCTCCTTTTGTTTGTCGTCAGATTTGATTTTCTCCACTAGACTTTTGCGCTCGTCCATTAAGGCTACAGTTAAAGATTTTAATTTACTCAAATCATCTTTGAGGCTCAGTTCAGTCTTTTCCATTTTCAGTTCTGAAGACTCCAATTCCTTTAAACGAATACGGAGAGCTATGACCTCATCTGAGAGATCTTTGGAGAGGCCCTTCTCTTTGTCCAGTGCTGCATGCAACTGAGCACACTCTGCTTTGCTCATGCTGAAAGCTGTCTCCAACTTCTCCAGTTCTATCATTCTAGTCTGAAGTTTCTCCACCTCTAGTCTGAGTTCTTTGATTTTACAGTCCTCCTCTTGGAGTCTCTTTCTAAGTTCTTTACATTGATGTTCTGTTTTTGTGATCTCCTCATCTTTCCCTTCCATTTCCATTACCCGTTTTCTCAAATTCTCTAACTCTGTGGTCAAATTAGAGTTTCCACATTCTCCTTTTCTCAGTTCCCTGAATTCCATCAGTTCTTCTTCAGATTTCTTCAGTGTGGTGTTCTGCGACTCCAGTTCATCCACTTTGTTTGTCAGTCCGAGAATTTTGGCATTGAGTTGCCGGTTGTTGGCCTCATTATTGGCTAATTTGGTGTTCATCTCCTCGTGTTGCTGGCTCAGCTTGGCAGATTTTTCTTTCAGTTCAGTCTCTAGATTGTGCAGCCTATGTCCATCATCACGAGTCCGATCTTTAGCCTCTTTCAAAGCCTGCTCCTGCTGCAGCAGCTGCTGACTCAGCTCCTGGACCCGCTGGCTCTGTTGGTCCATTTGCTCCAGGTTCTGCTGACGCTCATTGACCAGCATCAGGGCAAAGGACTTCAGTTTGACTAGCTCCTCCCTCACCTTGGTCAGTCGTTTGGAGTGCTCCTTCTCCTTCTTTGTCTGGTAGGCTTTCTCAGTCTCTAACAGTTTCTTTAACCTATAAAAAAAGAAAAGTTTTTTAAGCAACGTTAAAAATGTGACCCCTTTATATAAGACAAGTATTCCCTATTTTCGCCTTTCTATTACTGTATGCCAATTCACATTGTTGTCTATGACCAAAGTAGAATGAAGACAGTAGACAGTCTGTTTAGAATTCAGTCCCCACAATTTTGCAATGCAAAATGAGTTAAACAAATCATTTTGTCTCGTGATGGTCAGAAATGTCCAGAGCCACACTTAAAGAGACACAGTCCACAGTCAAGTTTGGAGAAATCAACAAGATTCTCACCTTATAAAGACAATTCAGTGTATGACAGCAAAAAAGTTAACTAAAAATAAAATATAAATCCTTTACTCTCAGGATGGAACCTCAGCTAATGTTATCTCATCCATATAAGCAGCTCGTGTGAGGGAGAGATGCCCTGCTCTACATTGCACTCACTGAAGAGGCGGATCTCCACGAGGAGTGTTTAGACAAGTGTGCAAAGTAAAAGTGACAAGTATATTACCAGGTCACTGCAAGAATATACTGTGTTTTACAAAGGCCTAACAATGGATTCTAAATAGTCACAAAATGAGACAAATAGTAAGTCTTACTATTATTTCTAGAATAAATAAAACATAGTATATATGTTCAGTTATAATGTCCGAACGGTTTTCATCTACAAACACATTTGCCCGTATTTATTTATAAATATTTTTTAAAAACCTGTTTACTTTAAACTTTGCATATCATGACAATTCATCTACACATTTTGAATATATCATGTTTTCAGCTTAAATTACACAACAAACCAAAAATAAAAGACAGCCCTGCAAAGTGAAATGTTTAAAATACTGCAGTTTTTTTACTGAACATGTACACGGCTTCATGTTACAGTGTCCTTTTTGTCAAGTAGCATCAGCGTCCCCTTGGCTGAGCACTGTACTGGGGTGGTTTCCAGATCTCAAAATTCATACCTACATCGTCACATATTAATACCATGCGAGGAATTGGCTGTCTAAAATGGCAAAGGTCTAAGCAGTGATGTCAGGGGTGCACAGAAGCAAAGGTCATGTGAGGGCTACAGTTCAGACCGTGTGGAATGAACATAAATAAATATTCGCACATACACACAGAGAGAGAGCGAGAGAGCGAGAGCGAGACAGAGAGACAGAGAGACAGAGAGAGAGAGATCCATACATATAGTATATATTTATTTGGCAGTAATATTATGAATGTTTTTGTTTTAATTGCTGAATTCCGTCTGATTTCAACATTTGACATGTCTCTGAGAATAAAGCCGCTGCCAGAACGGCATCGTGGGAGATGCAATGAGTACATTCTACAGCAAGAAATGGCCATTAGAATCTCTTGTTTGTGAATGCTTTAATTAGTAGGTTAGGGCCCCTCTCTCATACACATCCATACACACTATAGCTCTGGCCTGTTTGATCTCGGAGGCCCATGTGACGTAACCAGGCCTTTCTCTGATGGGGGCACACTGCATGATGTCATGGGAGACTCTCTATGTTTACAGTGCACAAAGCTAAACTAAATGTCCATGACTATAATGACAGTACAGACTGAGTAATAGTAGAGCTATACCAGACCGTGTCCATCCTGTTCCGCACAGAGGCGTAGTAGGTTGATAATTATTGAGGTCAATCATACACTACATTCAAACAACAGTATTGCATTCAAACGCAACACTAGTAGAAAGATCGATAGATAGATAGATAGATAGAAAGATAGATAGATAGATAGATCAGGGGTCCAGTAGCAGCAGAAACACATCTATCCATACAAACAAAACATATAATAGACCATCCTAAAAGTAGCTAACAGTAGTAGTAGTAGTAGTATTAAAATGCTTAAGGTCACAGCAGCAGAGACAATGTAGCCTCTGGGTGGAGCAGGACAGGCCACAGCAGCATAGGTGGTATCGCCGCTTGGTTCTGACCATTTTCTCTGCTCTGGTCCACAGTAAATTGCTGAATGCTTTGTAAGAATTTTTCAAAACAATTGCATTCCTCCAGTGGATTTCCTCCTGATCTGCTCGGTTCAGTTCATGAATTCTCTCTGCTCTGGATCAGTGTTAAACTATAAACACTGTACTGTAGTCAGAGGTAGAAAAATAATAAGAAAAAAACAAATGTAAAGTAGAAAACAACAACAGTTTCAGAGCTACTTTGGACTTTTTGACGTTTCCAGCACATTCAAAATTGGTGTTGGCACTTTTACCTCTGCTCCATTACTCTATGTCCTTGAAACGTGGTTTTGCATGTATGAATGTGTTTGACATTGGACCAGAGGTTTAACCGGAAGAATGTCAATTAGCCATATACACTTGAGCAAGTGTCACGCTGAGGGACAGGGAAATGAGAGAATGAATTATGCAAACTTGTACAGTGCCTTTCAGAGCTCATGGACTACCAATTGGTTTACACCCTAAAATATACATGTATATTTGGAACATTTCGACTGGCATAGAGAGAATGAAATAGAAGGAAACATTTGAATGGAAACAAGCATAAAAGCTGATCCAGGACAAGTAGGTTTCAGGTTGATAAATAGCTCCATCATGATCAATGTACTTTTGGTATTTGTGAGTTCATTTCAACGCAACAACCCGTGCTTGATGAAGGCACGACTGTGACAGTCAGAAGTGGTCAGACGTGACGCTGACCTGGACCCTGTGACTGACCTCTCCCGCTCCTGCTCCAGCAGGTTGGTGAAGTCATCACTCTTGTTCATGTAGTCCACGTGCTTGCGCTTCTCTGTGTCAAGCTCGTGCACGGTGCGGCGGTGACACTTCTCTGCGAGCAGCAGCTGTCCCAGCATCCTCCTGTATGTGTCTTTGTGCTTCTCCTGGAGACGCTCCAGCTGAAGGAAGGGGACACTACTGTAAACCACGTACATCAATCAGATGTTTTATAAATTATAAAGCAGGGTGCACCCGCTGCACTGACCTCCGCCATCGGTTTCTGGTAAACACTGGGCTGCTGCTGTTTGGTGCCAGACACACAACTATCTCTGTGCAGAGCCTGCAGAGCTGAGGCAGGGGCTGCAGAGCCATACCGAGACTCCAGGGCCTCTGCTGAAGTCTGCTTGCAGCTCAACATACTGATGACATCTTCTCTGGCCTGGAAACAAACACATAAAGCGACACACACCATTTTATGAACAAATAGAATTAGATCGAATGTCTTCTAAATGTGGTAGGAGAAAAATATAATAAATCCATGTATGAGAGAAAGGACACACGTTTTCATTTTGTTCTGTCAACTACCCGTTATGACCACTAGAGAGAGCTGTTGAGTTTTTGTTCATGAGTCGTGTGCATGCAAAAGGTTACTTTGAGGTGTAGTTATAAGATGAAATGCAATAAAATGTCCAATAAAATAATGCACCGACATATTGCAGATTATCGAAATATGTTGTGTCTTGTAAATATTAATAATGCTTAATTTGGATTTACCCACATTTTTGCACTAAAGTAAATATCTTTCATAACAAAAGGAACAGTTTTATGAGGAGCAAAGACTTTGCTAAAACATTAAATCTTTTTAACTTTTATACAAACATCTGGTCTGGTCACAATATATAGAGAGTGGGTCTTAATTGTTCTGTACTTCTGTATTGTGTTTGTGTCATGTATTTGTCATTCCTTACCATTGCTGGTCTTGTCTCTTACCATTGCTGGTATTGTCTGTTACCATTGCTGGTATTGTCACTTACCATTGCTGGTATTGTCCCTTACGATTGCTTGTATTGTCTCTTACCATTGCTGGTATTGTCTGTTACCATTGCTGGTATTGTCTCTAACCATTGCTGGTATTGTCTCTTACCATTGCTTGTATTGTCTCTTACCATTGTTAGTCCTGTATTACTGTTGTCATATGTAACTCTGATGCGTTACTATGGTAACTCCACAATGTGAATACTCAAACCTTTCTGTGTTAATATAGTGCAGAAGTCGAAAGTTGTTGATAGCCCTGTCTCGCAAAGAAGCAAATTTCTGTTGTATTCATATTATGGGGGTAGGATTAAATAAGTTTTCTTCTTCCTACTCCCTTTCAGGCAAATATTTTTATTTTTTGTTGGAAACTATGATGAACAAGAGGTGACTGCTGCCTCATGTGAAATGCCTGAAATGAATAAATAAACAAACAAAACAAACAAACAAACTAGGGGCCAAAGGTTAGGCACAATCTTATACTTACTTGAACTTCTCCCTCCATGATGCCCAGCAGTTTGAACAGTTCCTTCTTGGACAAATCCATCACACCGTTTTTGTTGTCACTCTTGTCCAGCAGTCTTAGTTCTTTCTCTGGAACCTCCTGTGCTCCTTCAGGCTCCTTCTGCTGGACTTTGGCTTTGAGGCTTTTCACAGATAGCCCCAGATCGTCCTCCTGCCTGATGTCAGCATCACTCTGTGGGACCCCCAGCACGTTAGCTGCCGTCTCCACCCCACTGCCTTTGGACCTCATTTTTTACCTGCATCAAAAACATGTTTTAAAACACATTAAAACAACACAATGTTTCCAAAGTGCTGCACACAAGACCAAAAATCAATCAAACCAAAGCAATCAATTACTGGTCAAGAGTTCTGCAAATCTGAGAACACATTTGTTCTTCTGCTGTATGTTACACTTTTGGTAAAAAATAAAAAATAAAAAACATGAATCTTTGCTCCCTGTTTGCACATAATTATATTGCAAGATACACTGCTTTTTCTGTTGTAATAATGTCTTGTTTAATGTTCATTTTAATTGCAAACAGACGGCACTGCTTCCAGAAATCCCCTCGTAGCACCCTGTGATGTCATAGCACCCTGACCTCAGAATGATGACACCTCAAACAAACAAGCAAAAGGGAAATATTACTTTAGTAAAAGTTCATTGGATATTATGAATAAGGCATAGATTTTGGGTTGTAATAGTCCTTTTTTAAACCTTATATAGACTTATATATGCGGAGAAAGGTTTTATGACTGGATTCTATATAGACTGCAAAAATAAATTAAATGTGTGTGTGAACAACAACTCAATGTGCATCAGGTAATCTCTACAAAGATATTCTCCAGGGGGAAACTAAAGTCAATTTGAGAACACAAATTATAAAAAAACAAAAAAAACAGTTTCACTGACCCAACTAATCAAATAATCGGCCTACTAATCAAATATAATCAAATATAAAATATATAATGAAAAAACAAAATCAGAACAAAACAAAAAAGTATAGATATCTAGACATCTAAAAATCCCCTCTATCTCCGACCCCAGAAGATCATCTTCTCCAGTAAATAATAAGCGTTGGCATTATTCGCTGTAAATGTACTATGAAGAATGTTGGCAGGGCTACCGTAGCTACACAAATGATCAGGAGACAAAATGTTTGTGTACTGTGATAGTGCTGAGTGATGTCGAGATCTCATTGAAATCCAATGAGCCATGTTACTATTTTCTTTGAATACTAATCTATTTCCAGGAATCATCACAAAAAGTCATGAGAAACCACAACCACTGCTTCCTCAGACCAGACAGAAAAGTACAAACTTGCCCCGCTCAGTAATCCTGCGTCTTATCCGAGTTCAGTCAGTTCAATGTGGGGAAGGACAGCACTGACGGTCACTATTAGTTTCACTAGTCAAATGTCAGATGAGTATTAGTCTGTTAGATACATCTCATGTCCATAGCCACCTTATCCAGAGGTCTGCTGGGCGGAAGTCAAGGGCCTATCAGAATCATGGAAATAAGCGATTTTGATGTAAATCACTTTTCTTTGCGACATAACCATAGACCGTCTGTTATGAGTGGACTGACCAAGAGCTGACGCCTGTGGTAGTGTTTTCTGAATGTGGAGGACGGCAACTTAAAGATAACCTAGCATGAGCCAATTTCCTTATATGGGTATTTGTTTGGACGAGGTTAGCTTTGCGATGTATCAGTGGCAGACGCGTTGCTAACATGATTGCTAAGGCCAGCTGGAGATTTCACTGCAATTTCCCTTACAAAGACTAATCCTAAGATCATAGAGAGCGCAAAAATACATGTTGTGTGGCACAAATAGTTACTGAGCTAAGAATTTAATTTTCATTGTAAGTCAATAGGAGCCAGAGTGAGTCAGGACAAAAATATGAACATTGGCACCTTCTCATTGGGCTTCATTGAGTTAGGGGGTTAGCATTGTCATCTACAGACTAAGGGCCGACCATAGTCAAGGGCCTATCAGAAAGAAGGAAAAAAAACAACAAAGTGAATTTTATTGATTTTTATGCGACATAACATACCCCATAAGTGTTCCAGTGGCAGACCTGCCCTAACATGTTTTCTAACCATGGGGCACTGTACTGTTACGTCCAGTTTGTGTTCAATGATATGTTTTAGTGAACGTTGGTTACTTGTGAAGAGAGTGTGACACATTTAGAAGACAAGCGCTAGAGCCACCCACACTTCGCAGCCTCCTGATTGGTTGAAATTATTTTAAATCCTTGAAGCCCCTCGTCATTTGTTTAACCGTTCTCCTCCAGCAAATCCCGATTTACTCATCTTATTTACGTCCAGAGAAGATACCAGAAAAACACCATGGTCAGAAATATACAGTTAAAAATGAATACAATTTAAGTTGCTAATATCACCTTTAAACTTGACTTTTTTTGTTATTTCAATAATTGCAGTTTTTTGTGTCTGATTTAGTTGAGTTGTTTTATATACATCATTCCAGATTAAATTCAAAGTGCTACATGTGATCTTGGTCTGTAAAATGTGCTAAAAACACAAAGATAACTTACTTACTATTTACTATTTATATATGTAATTGCAGCATTGGGCATTTAGGGTTAGGGTTGGCTTAAGGTGGCCCTGCCCATGCCACAGTTATCCATAAGCTCATTTTTAAATCCTGAACAATGACGTATAAAAAATGAACGTAATAGAGACATGAGTGGACATTGGGGTTGTAAAAAGGCCGGGCACGGGTCCTAAGTGACAAAAGGGTGACACGGGTTCTATCTATCACTCCCAAGTTTATTTTTAATTCCTGAGCCGATGACATGAGAACCCAAAAAGGGGGTGATATCACTTGACTGTAATTGAGGCTATGTAAAGTGTCACTAGTACTACAGTAATATCCAGTAGAAAAAGAGCTCTGATGTTTGCTCTGGACTTGAATACAAATAATATACCGGCAGTAACATCTCCTTTTGGGGTAAAAATACATAAACATATTATACAAAGTAAATTCCATGTACTTTGGAATGGGCCATTGAATTCAAAACATGTATTCCAAGGGCTCCTTTAAAATCCTGATTTATCATTTTGGGTTAGTTAGTATAGAGCATTTATAATATTTTATTTACAGAATTACCTTCCTTGAATATATTAAGAAAAGAATTGTCACAGAAAATTTGATCATGTCTTCCAATATAACTCCACATTTAGAATGAAGACAATTGAAGTACTGTCCCTCTGTGACTTAGATTACTGTTTACTAACTCCAACTTGCTCAAGGCTATATATCTGCTTTCTAAAATAAAAGATTTAAATGTTAATTGATCCACCTGGGAAAAAACTTTGAAAGCTGCTTGGAAAGTTGAGGATTATATGAATAAACTCTAGTATGTAAACATTAAGCTTTTTAATACAGACTATCATAATGGCATGTTGTTACACTTTGGTTGTTTTTATGGCACTAAAGTAATATTTAAAAGGAGAAGCTTCTATAAACTAGTTTTAATTTCCAACTCATTGACTGCCATTTGTCTGAGACCCTCTATTCGACTGGGACAGGACTTACAGGACATTAAAAATAGCTAGAAACAAACTTATTTTGTACATTCTGTGGCTCTTGAGAATCAGTGAAATCATCAAAAACAGCTGGCAGTCAATGAGTTTACAAGTGTGACATACCTCAGATTAAAGCAGGGGTACATGACCTAAACTGAAAAATTACAAAAATAATTCATCCATTATTCTGTGGGGAAAGTTTGGTACCCCAGCTTTAAAGAGACAGTGGACTAACTACAATCATTTACTGTTTGTTACTGTACTTCTGATGCTACTATCATAAAACAGTTAAAACAGTTCTCCAGGATCCAAATGTTTGACCCTTATTGATGGGACAAAGACGTTGCCAGCAGACAGTTGTCTTGTTTAGTCTTTGTTGAAGTGTCAGTGAAGTGTGGATTGTTTTTAACCCGGAGAATCAAATGGGAATTCCAGAGCCGCACGGTCCAAATTCCTCTCTTGCACCAAACAGTTGTCTTTGTGCGGTCTGAAGGAGTAGGTGTGAACAATAGGTCTGTACTGTGAGCCACGGCCAATCTCCATAATGCCCACACATGTACTTATTGTTCTTATGGCATCTGCACCATACACATAAAGTTATTGACCAACAGGAATTTATGGTCCCAATAAAACCAAGATCGAGAGCCTGCTCCACTCCAGTCAAGGCCCAAGACTAAATTTAAAGAAAAATGTATCCTATGGGGTTGGTCAAGTCCAGCTGTCTCATATGAGTAATTTTAACCCAACAAAACATGTGGCCCCTACCAATACAAAGGAGGGGCCTGTTATTTTCAGATTTCACATTTGTTGGAGCGTGTTTTCTATGTTTAATAGGATAAAACAGAGTCCAGAGCAGCTGGCTTTTGTACTTAGCAGTTCTCCTATAGAAAAATGCAGTGTTTATATATGATCGATGTCTGATATATCGTCACTCACACTTTGTCTAAATAAGGAGTAGATAATGCTGGCTGACACGTTCCGCTCCAAGACTCAGATAAAATACAGCGCTTCCAACCAGACAAGGAAAACACTTGGGTCGGCCAAAAGTGGGGGGTTTGGATTTGTTTCAGTTGACTTTCGGACTGAGAATGAGATGCTGATCAGATCTACCTAATATTATATGTATGGTGGACATTGCTATCATTTAAATGAGGCATATTGTCCAAAATTGATCATGTTACACCATTTTGTCTCATCAAAAACAGACCTGGAGTTGTTTTTAGATCCATCAGGAATTTATGGCAAAGCTGACACAAAACTCCGGCACTTCTGAATAAAAGCTGTCCTGTAATAGTATGATGTCATTGTACCTCTACGACGTCACGGTCACAGCAGTGTTTTCACTGCCGTTTAAAACAAAAGTAGTGCCCAATTTTTCACGTTAAATTATGTTAATTTGTAATCACATGGCTTTGCTTGTAGCCGGTAATTTTCATATTTGCAAAAAAAGCAAAACAAATTCTTTCTGCTCCTAGCTTAGGGATTGTGCAGGCCTTATTTACCCCTGATACTTGTTTCACCATACATCTAAAATCTTAAATCCTGAAGTAAATAGTCTCATTATAATTTTCAATGGACAAAATAGTGCGTAATATTTCCTCTTTAACATGTTTTGATTTACACTATAATTTCTAGGTCAGTCGTACTGCGTTTCTTTTACTTTTGAGCATCTGGAACTCCGTCACCAGTGACCCTGACACACC